TGCCCTGTGAAAAAAAGGCAGTGTTGCTCTCTTGTTAAAAAACCAGAGACTGTCAAGACACTGTCAACAAAGCAGAAACCTGTGTTTAAAACTGCACGGGTCACACCAGCCCCTCTGAACAGAAGGCAGTAGACAGCTGGATCTCCCAGGCATTGTAAGCCTCATGAGAGTAGTCTTCTATGTCCTGGAAAAGTAGTCGGTTCTCTTCATAAGCTATACAACCCTAAAACAACTCTATCAGGCAGGACTGGTTTCCTCCATTTAACAGCCTGTCAAAATAAGTCTGTTACCCACTGTTTCACAGCAACGTCAGAGCCAAGGCCACACTGGTGATGCTATGTGCAGCTGAAATGGACTCATAGCTGACCTGCAGGTTTTTAGAGTTAACAAGCTAGACTGGAGGAAACTGTCCATCTCTCTCTCTGGCAATGAAGAGATTACTTTATTTGGGATGTAAAACATCTTGTTCCTTTACTGTCTCTTTCAGCACAGGTTCTGTCTTCTGGCAATACCCAGAAACCACAGAGAGCAAGCGTTTAAAGTCTACACAAGTCAGACATGGACTGCAGCTAATGTGCTGTGACACAGTTCTAAGATGTATGAATCTTCCATTTGCTAAGAGGGAGAACTCCATGCATGGTAAACAGAATGACCAATACTGGGGCCCTCTTTCCAGGACTGATAAAAAAAAGCCAACGAGCTCTTTAACATGAAAGAAGCTAACCACAGGGAACCTAGAGCATCTTAATGATAAAATACTAGAAACAACTTATTAAAGTCAGAAACACAATAAAAATAAGGACTACATGTAAATAAACTAGTATAATTAAAAAAAATACTATAGCTGCTTTTGGGTAAGAAGCTATGCTACAATCCCAAAGGCAAGTGGTTCAAATCCACCAGCTGCTCCACAGGAAGATGGGCAATCTCCTCCCATGAGATTTATTGCCTCTGAAAATCTGCTGGAGGGCCAGCTATGAGTCAGTTCCTACTCAAAGGCAAACAATAAATGCTGCTTCTAGTCAGCAAAGCACTGGAAGTAAGCTAGCTAGTGCAATAAGACAAGAAAAAAGAAAAATTTGGAATGATACCTTTTGGAGGGCAATCTTTGATGAACAGATCTATGCTTTAATTTAATGTACTTTAAGTTCCTGCACTACAGAGCCTTCCTGCATGCATAACTCCCCACCAAAAGAAAGCAAAAACTTGGCAAGATAGGGATTCCTTTATCTCCTCCCAGTTCTCATCTCAGGGAAGCATAGGCCTCCTTGTCTTTTATTCCGTTTTATTTCCCCCTAAAGCTCCAGTTCTCTTTTATATAATGATATCACCATTCTTCAGGGTTTTTCATTTTCTCTTATAACCTCCCTGGGGGAGATCAGAAAGAGCTGATAAAGTGGATCTCTGATCCAGCTTTTTCTGGTGAGCAAAGCTGAAAAGACGTTGGGACATGCAGCCTTTGCTGCTATCTCGGCAAAATATGAAAAAGAATTTTATTGAAACATTTACATATTCACAGCTGAAGGCAGAATGATACTGGGAGCAGGCTGGATAAGAAATCACTGACGGTTTGCGATTTAATTCCGGTGCTGCCACTTCTTAGCTTCGCGTCCTTATCCCCACTGAAATCCCTCTTACTTACTGTCTGTAAAATGCAATGATTCATAAGACCACCCTAAGGTCTAAATGAGATATGTACATGAGGATCTCAATAATAAACCTCCCTTCAGGAACATGGCAGGTTGGGGTTATACATTCAATGTCCTATTCCTCCACACACTTCCTTCTTTCTAGCAAAAATCTCATCATCTTCTAAGGGCCATACCATGTGCTTTTGGAAAGTGTAGCCAAGGGTGGCCCCTAGCACCAGCTCCAGGGCAATTTCTTGTTTATTTGAGCCAATCAGGCATTCCATTTCCTTCAGCAATTATTACTGATTTACATGTGGACACATGAAGCAAGTTTGTACTAAAAAGATAAGGAAGCCTGCTTAGACTGGGGAGGAAGTTTCGAGTTTTCCTTGTTTTTTAAGGGACACAACAGAGGTGACCCTCCTGCCTGCTAATATTTCCATGTTTAGGCTGCAGTTCAAAAAGGCTACAGCCAGGTTCTGATGAGGGTAACGAGCTTGAAAAAAACAACAACAAACTCCAATCAGAAAGGAGAGCAGTGCAGAAAGGCCCATTGGCAATGAGCTAGTGAATTCACAAGCCCTGAGCATCGTGTTATTGGAAGTGACATACATCCCTCTTCAGCCTCTTCCGCTCTGTGACTTGCAAGAGAGCAGCTTCAATGATACCTGCGCTTTTTGCCTGAGAGTCTCTGGGTGTTCAAGTGCCTTACTCAAGGTCGCTTCGAGCATCAAGTGCTAGCACATAGTAGGGCCTCAACATTAATTTTGTTGTCTGTTGTCAAATGCTATGCAAGCAATAGTACTTCATGCAGATATTTCAAAGGAGACTCTGGGGGCTCAATGGCTCTTTAGGTCAAGAGGAAAACATTCCTGCCTTTCTCCTTTTCCATCTTTAAAATGCATTAAGGCCTACTCATTCGTGTATTTAACATTTGCTGAGCTTCCATAAGGTGAAAGAGCCAGAGAAAAATTGACATGAGAGCCTTAGAGTGGCTCTCCCGCTAATGGGCAAATAGAAATGCGCACAGTAAGTACAAGTGAGTATTATGGGTTTTTATTTGAAACATTTATCTAGCCTATAGTTGAAGCATTAAAAAAAGAGAAGATATTGGGGATGGGTATGAAGCAGACACACTGGGGCAGGCAGGGAGAGGCTGACACAAAAAGCAAAGAGAAGGAAAAGCATAAGGGCAGGAGGGCAGGCTTTCTGCAAGGTCTGCTGAGAAAACAGCACAGCGTGGCATGCCCAGAATGAAGAGTGCACGGGGCAAGGGAACAACATCCAACAGAAGATGCTAGGTGTAAGGGGCACGGTCCTGCAGGTACGCAGTGTGGATCAGGATAAGTGAACAGGATATAGTCCTGTGACTACAGTGACCACGTGAGTGAATGCCGTGGCACATATATAGAAACAGCATGGGGACTGAGAGTCCTACCGAGGAGTCAGGAGTTCTAGGTTCGAATTCCCCTCGTGTTTCGGGGACTAAAACTGTCCTCTCTTAAGGTTGTTTCCTCTTCCATTAAATGACGCGATGGACCACATGATCTTTATGGGCCTCTCAGACTCGGATGGGCTAGAGTTCTGAGTCAGGCACAAAGCACCGGTACTCCCCACATAGAGGAAACATAGCAATCTGCTCGGGCTGGGATGGGACTACACGCTATCTTGAATGGCAACTCCAAATGATTGGTAGAGGCAACCAACACTGTATCAAGAAAGTCTCTGAGGCTGCACAAGATTCCAAGTTCCCCCAAAAAAGAGAGCTGGAGTTGTCTGTCTCTGCCCATGGGTCAAAGAGGTCCAAATGTTGCCATGAGTGGTGAGGATCTGCCATTCCTAGATTACTGTGTTAGGTGCGGGAAGGCGCAAATGCCCACCCACCTGGGTAAACTGCTAGCACTGCAGTAAAGCTATCAAAGACTGGTTTCTGCTGGGGGCTCTGTGAGAACAAGTGTCAGGGTCTCTCCAGTCTTGACCTCACTGATTCTGTTCTCACTCAGTCAGAAGCCTAAGGCCAATTCGTCATTCATTTCCAATCCTCCATGCTTCTCACTCTACCTGCTGCGTTCATCATCTCTAAAAGTCACCTCTTCGGCCTGTAACTCTGACTTACTTTCCTGAAGCCAAGACACAACTAATTAATTACACAACAGGCTTTTGAACCAAGAAAGGAACCCTTTCTCTCTTTTTTTTTTTTTTAAAAAAATATGATCAGTAAACAATCCAAATCACATCTCTACTTTGCCTTTTATTTTCCCTCCAGCCAGGACTACTTAGGGCTGCCAGATGGATGGCCACGGTGCTGGTAAGAGACAGGGAGGGTGATTTCGTACACTAGGACGCTAGGCTGTGCTACAGCTGGCAGGAAGAGAGGTGTAATTATATTGCATCTTGGAGCTACCAGCAATGAATTTCTGCATAAAGGACTAGATTTGCTATGTATTATTTATGCCAGCATCAATTTTCCCAGCTGGCACTATTTACTGTGCAAATTCTCCTCTGTCTGTTTATGGGTAAGGCTATGGTTCAGCACCTCTGGTTACTCTATACTGCGGAGGGGCCCCGCAGGGTACCATGCATATTAAACAAGTGGCTGGATTCACCAGGAGCAGGTCACATCCTCCCTTCCTGTTAAATTATATCCCTGGGACTGCACCAACCTCCTGTTCTCACCTAGCCAGGGAGATGCGTGCAGGTGCGTGAAACCAAAGTAGCAGAAGAGGAGGGACAGCTGTCCTGTGGGGCCTTTTCTGAGGAAAACGGAAAAACCACCATCGAAGGGGAAGTGAGATCGGTCTGGGGCTGAGGAGGGTTCCTTTTCATGTGTTTAAGAGGAGAACATATAAGGAAGAGTTTTGCACTTATGAGGCTATTTCCACTCGTTAATTCAGAGACAGAGCTAAGGGAAAGGTGGATTACCAACTCAGAGACAGAAAGAAAACAGAGGCCAAAAAAAGTGAAGAAAAGAAGTAAAGGTGGGTAGAGGCTGCGTGGCTCAGTCACCCTGTCAGGTTGAATGTGAGACTTGGTGTACCAACAAGGGTCCCTTGTCAATAACACACCTCTTCAGAGATGCCCGTGGTAGGGTGTGCTCAGCACATGGTAGAAACAAGGCAAGAAAACTAGGCACCAACATACATTTCTAGTACCTTCCACTGCAGTAACCTCTCTCGACTGTGATTTGATATGTTCCCACAGATGATGATACTGAGGAATCCACAAAATATCCCCCCTGCTCACTGGGGGTGTCTAGAGATCCCCTACCCAGTCTGGGGGTTGCTGCTACAGTCTCTCAAGTGCTGCATGGTGGTGAAGACGCAGGGCAGCGGGGAGGGAAGATGGGACCATCTTCGACAACAACAGTAGTCATGTCTGATTCCCGTCCAGTACTGAGCTCTGCTCTGGAATCCCCCAGCTCCCAATGTCTACTGTCTCCTGGATTCCTGTTGCCTGGGAGAAGAAACAGAGGGACAGGTAAGTTTAGTTTTGCTATTTGTTTGGATGGGTAATTCTTTGATTGTGGTTAAATATATATGTAACAAAACATTTGACATTTCAGCAGTCTTCACATACACAATGGCATTAATTAGGTCCATTAACCATCACAACCATTAAATAAATTGTTCGACCATCACTCTTCATTCCCAGACAGCACTGTCTTTAGCAGAGCTCAGTGGCCCCCAAGGAAAGCTAAGCATTTGAGTTACAACCCAAATGGCAGTCTCTTTAGTTTGCAGGAGTTAAACATCTAAGAATTCTTCTATAAGAATCTATCATGGAAACCAGTCCCCACTGTCCAGTCCACTACTGCCTTCTTCCCTGTGGGGCTGGCTCACCTGACGGGAAGACTTGGTCAGGCATGCCACACGATGGCTGCCCAGCAGGCCTGCTCCCTCGCCCACATCCAGGAGAACTCGGGTATTGGGGACAAAGCTCCACGACCGTCCAAGGGCAGGTTTGAGATTCCCACTGTCTCTGTCTCGGGTCACATGGTTGGTCACCTGTGGCAGAAAGAATGAGACTCACAGACCCATAATGCTAATGGAAAGGAGAGCTGTTCCTAGGACTGCATTTTACAGGTGGGGAAACTGAGGTCTAGAGTAGAGAAATGACATTCTCAGGGCTCCATAACTTATTAGTGGCCAGCCTGGTTTCCTAATCTCGTCTAGCTTACTTCAGTAAATCACAGTGCCTTAGGCTTGACCCCTAATCAGAGGCACAAGTCTGGGAATCAGCAGTCCTCTCTTCACTGGCCTGAGAAGCCACGTGTGGCTTCTATGTGAGGCCACTACGCCTCCAGTCCAACAGTAGGCATCCTGAGATCATGCTCAGTCAGTCCTTTGTGTCGGGGAGTGCATCTGTGTGGATGGGTAGGAGAGAAGAGTAAGGAGAATTTTAATCTGTTCAGTTAGCTCTACTCTGCCCAAGCCTGGTCACGGATGGAAGCAACTCATATCTCACAGCGTCCTCCATGAGCCCCCCCAGGAAAGGGACTGCCACGGGGGCTAGTTCGCCATCAATCCTACCACAAGCCTAGAGGCAAGAACACAGCAGCTGCTCACACGCAGTTTAAAGATGTGAAGAGGCGAGCTTGGCTTCTTGTAACAGAACAAAAGGGCAGGAAAACAGATCCTCTTACATTTCTGACGTGGATACAAATTTGTATCTTTCTGGAAATTTGGCAATGTATGCCTAGACATATAAAGCTATCAATATCACTCAAATAAAATTTAGAAAACCCTAATAAACGTATATAGATCCTTGACCCATTATGCCATCATTATAAATTTATTTCAAGGAAGTAATATTATGATATTTGAGTATAATAATGTTCATTATAGCTTTATTTATATAATACAGAAAAATGGGTCATGATATAAAGGTCCACAGATCAAGAATTGGTTAGATTGTTATTGTACAGTAGGGTTCAGTAAACTATGGCATACATGTTAACTTTGTCCTCAAAACTGCTTCCCCGCTTTTTTCTGACAACTGCTTTTGTTAATAAAGTTTTATTGGAACACAGCCATGGCCATTTGCTAATCTATGACTTGAAGTTGCTTTCATGCTATAATGGCAGAATTGTCCCTTATACATCAACGCTAAGGCCAGAATACCTCCAATATTTACTGGCTTTACAAAAAATCTGTTGATTTCTGTGCTAGAGGCATTGAACAAAACAGTACATAGCTGCTAAAAGACATTCTTAAACAGTTTATCTTACATTTTTATTCTTTCTAGGAGAAGAGTAAAATTACTTTATAAAAATTACTTTATAAGCAGAAAAAGTTACTTCAGAAATAAAAAAGCCCATTTACATGAAACTCTACAAAAGGCAAAACTATTGAGACAAAAGAGAGATCAGTGGTTGCCTACGGTTAAGGGAACTCTCTGGGATGACAGAAATACTCTGTAACTTTGATTACAGTGGTAACAAGACTGTATATGGTTATATCCATTAGTTACACTTCAAACAGAAAAATTCTCACTGTGTAAATTATACTTCAACAAACCTAACTTTGGAAACAAGATTATCCTTGATCCCTAAGGCTGTTTATGATCCATTCTCTTCATTGTCTTAGAGCTCTAGATGACCCGGCTAGGCCCCTATCCTGAAGGCACTTTGGGGGTTCCAAAGCCATTTAATGGAAATAAAAGACTACAACTTTCCTCTTCTGCCACTGTGAAGACAAGCATCAATGAGCAGACTGGGCACAAGAGACCAAGGCCACATCCTCACCAGCACTGCCACACCAAGGTCCCGGGCCACGGTCTTTAGTTCTCGGGCTAACTGCATCATCAAAGCCAGTCCTGGAAAGGCAGAAGCAGAAGCTGTGGACAGTGAGGGTGGACAGAGACAGGCTGGCTGCATGCAGACTGGACTACTGAAGGGGCGACAGGGCCACACGCCACCACCCCTAGCCCTCTGAGCAAGGTTCTCCACACCACTTACCTTCCCTCTGTTGACCTCCCAGAAGCGGGGAGACCACTGCGGTGACGGAGTCTACCACCACGACCTTCACAGTCCCTGAAGAAGCGATAACCTGTAGGAGGGAGAAACAGGGGTGAAACAGGTGCTCTGAGCCAGCTGGCAGAAAGAAACAAACCTCCTGCTTCTCCAACAGAGGGAGCCCTCCAGGTATGATGGCTATGCAGTTAGCTGAGAGCCAAAAGGTTGGTAATCTGAATCCAGCCTGGAGCTCTGCAGGGGAAAGAGCTGGTGATCTGTGGAGTAGTTCTACCCTGTCCTCGGGCTTTACAAAATCCCTGCTTGACAGTACCTAATGACAGCCCCAAATCGGCGATGTGTTTTTCACATTTGGATGCACGGCGGACTCTACTGAAGGCACGGGTAGATAGTTAAAGCTAAAAAAAGAAAAGGAGACTACAACTATCACCTTCACCAGTCCATGAAGAACTATCACCTGGGGAGAAACAGGTGCCATGAGCCAGCTGGCAGAAACCGCTACTAGAAACCAGAAAAAAACATAGAAACGTCTTCCTTCCTGACTGAAGACATGAACAGACAGCTGTCACTATTTCTAGGTGCCGTTGTATCGAGTATGAGTCAGAGCAAACCTATGATCAACAGAGCTGAACCCTGTCCTGTCCTGGGTCATCCTGACTCTCTTTGACACACTCAAGCCCACTGCTGCCATCAGTACGTCAATCCACCTGGTTGAGGGTCTCCCTCTCCTCTACTGTCCCTCCACCTTTCCAAGAATGATGTCCTTTTCCAAGGAATGGCTGCTCTTAGTAACATGGCCAAAGCCTGTGAAACAAACCTTTACCATCTTTGTCTCCAAGGAGCACTCTGGCTGCACCATCTCCAAGACATCCCAACTTGTTCTTTTGTAAGTCCTGGGCCATTCAGTGCTCTTCTCCAACACCACAGTTCAAAGGTGTCAATTCTGTAATTCTTAGTCACGGCCCAGATCTCAGATGCATAACAAGTGACTGACAAGATTATGGCCTGAATCAGGTGCACCTTAGTCCTCAAACTGACATCATGGCTCCTCAATAATTTGGAGAGGTCCCTGACTACATACTTTCCCACTGCCTTAGATCTCCTGATTTCTGGTACCAAGTGTGGATCCAAGGAAGATGAAGCTGTTGACAATTTCAATCTTTTCTGCATCTATCATGATGTTGCCTTTTGGTCCAGTGGTGAGGACTTCTGTTTTCTTGACATTAAGATATAATCCATTTAGAAGACTGCGGTATTTAACCTTTTGCAGCAAGCAAAATCACAAGACACTACAAACTGAAATAATTAAATCTTAGAAATTCCTGATCTTCTGAGTCCTTTGGTCGCCTAATCATAAACTTTGTCTAGTCATCTCTTTGCTCTCAGCCTCACATCATCTTGTCAAGACTTCCTTTTTTTATTATTTTTTTGTGTCTGTACAAATGGGATCTGACTGGTACAGAAGGAAATTGTCGCTCCTTCTCCAGCAGAGCACCTGGTGGATTCAAACCGCTCACCTCTGGGATTGCAGTGCAGCCTCTTGCCAATAGGCCACCAGAGCTCGCCAGGACTTCTTTTTTTAAGTTGTTACCCTATTCTCCTTTTATTCGACCCCCAATTACTAACTTCCCATAGTGAAGAGTTAGCCTTCTTTTTTTCTAGATCATGACTCTTAAGTTCTCACCTCTAAAACAATTCTGAATAAACATAGTTCTTTTCTCAAAGAGAAACTCTCATGCCAAAAAATAAAGGCCTGTCTGTCCCTACACCAGGGAACTCTGGTGGCCTATTGGCAAGAAGCTGTGCTTCAATCGCAAAGGCATGCGGTTTGACCAGCTGCTAGACAGGAGAAGGATGAGCAATCTCCTCCCTGCCTCTGAAAACCTGCTGCAGCGTCAGCTATGGGTTGGTTCCAAGCTGACAGCACACAACAATACACGGGCTAAGGGAGCTCTGGTAGCCTTAGTCGGTCGGGAGTTGTGCTGTGAACCCCAAAGCGAACAGTTTGAACCCACCAGCTGCTCCAAGAGAGAAAGATGGGCAACTTCCTCTCATGCAATTTCCAGCCTCTGAAAACCCACTGGAGAGTCAGTTATGAGGGGTTTTGTTTGCTTGTTTTTTTAAACACAAGGGTCACTACTATCTTCCTCTCTGTATATAAACTGTCTTGGATGTGTCTCTTCTCTGCTCTATTCCTTATATCCAAATCATCTGCCAATTCTATTCCCCTACCCTTCCCCCGCTCACTTTAGTAAAGTTAAGCCTTCAGTACTTAGGATGATCTCATCTGCTTTGTGTATCTTCCCTCAGCTTCGGCTACTGACCCTTGGCCAGTCACCAGTGTGACTAAGAGAAGATAAGAGAAAAAAGGGAAGCTCAAGGTAAAATCAGTTTAGCCCTTCCTTACCATCTCTGGGAGAGTGAGCTAAAATCACCAGCTAAAAGGGACAGCAAGCCCTTCCCTGCTTGTGGCTACGGAGTGATCAGTTTATCATCTGTGGTGAACCTAAGGTAATACCCAGCAATCCCTCCTTCTGGTACTAAAGCTTGTATAAATCCATCCCCTGTGACCTGTTTGTAAATAAGTCAAAGGTGGTGGAATGTAACTTATCTTGCCTGTTTTCATTAGATGCCATCAAGTTGAGTACAACTCATAGCGACCCTATGAATGAGAGATCTGAACCCTGTCCTATCCTGAGCCATCTTCACGACCTCTGACACACTTGAGCTCACTACTGCAATCACTGTGTCAATCCATCTTGTTGAAGAACTTCTCTCTCATTGACTCTCCACCCTTCTAAGCATGACAGCCCTTTCCAAGGGACAGCCTCTCCCAGCAACACACCCAAAGTATGTGAGATGAAGATTTGTCAGCCTAGCCTCCAAGGAGCACTATGACTACACCTTCAAACATATCTGTTTGTTCTTTTGGCAATCCATGAAATTCCATGATATTCAGCACTCTTCTTCAACACTACAACTCAAAGGCATCCATTCTTCTGTCATCCTTACTCATTGTCCAGCTCTCAGATGCACTGGAAGTGACTGAAAAGACTATAGCCTGAATCAGGCACAGTATCGTTTTAAATCTGGCATCGCTGCTCCTCAGTACTTTGGAGAGATCTCTGACAGTACAAAGACATCTCCTGATCTCCTGACTACTGGTACCAAGGATGTTTAATGTGGATCCAAGTCAAATGAAATAACTGGCAATTTTAGTCTTTTTTCCCCTTCTATCACAATGGTGCTTATCAGTCCACTGCTGAGGATTTTGTCTTCTTGATATTGAGATGCAATACATATTGAAGGCTGTAGTCTTTGACCTTCTGCAGTAAGCGCTTCAAGTCCTCCTTGCTTTCAACAAACAAGGTTGTGTCACCTGCATAACACAGGCTATTAATGAATCTTCCTCCAATTCTGATGCCACACTCTTTCTTCATATAGTCTAGCTTCTTGAATCATTTGCTCAGCAAAGAGATTGAATAGGTATGGAAACAGGATACAGCTGTGACACACACATTACCTGATTTTAACCCATGCAGTGTTCCCTTGATTTTACTCTCTTGATTAGGTTATGTTATGTGGCAAGGGTAATGAACTGTTACTCCTGCTATTACATAAGGAAAAAAATCATCTTGCTAGAAAATTTGCTCTCACTCCTGCCTAAGGTGTGCCTGATCCAGGCCATGGTCTTCACAATTACTTGCTATGCATCAGAAAGCTAAGCAATGACAAGGGATGATAGAAGGAGAATTGATGCCTTTGAGCTGTGGTGCTGGAGAAGAGTACTGACTGCTAGAGAGGGTGAAACCCAGCTGCTCCTTGGAAACAAGGATTTTGAAGCTTCATCTGACATACTTTGGGCATGTTGCAAAGAGGAACTAGTCCTTGGAGAGGTACATCATGCTTCGGAGGGTGGAGGGACAGCACAAGAGAGGAAGACCCTCAATGAGATGGACTGACTCAGTGACGGGGTAGGTGTGTCAGAGATGATAATAAGATTGGCTCAGGATAGAGCAGGCTTCAGAGCTGTTGTACATGGGATCACTATGAGTCGCAAGCAACTTGACAGCACATAACAACAAACCTGCTGGTTGAAGAATCGAGTGGCCAGGCTGTGAACTGCCTACAGAAAGGACTGTATAGTACAGTGGGAGGCCTCAGGAGATTGAAAGTGTTTAAGTCTACCACTGAAGTCTTTATGCCAACCCACCTCATTCAAAGTCTTCCTTTCCTCTGCTGATCCTCAACTTTTCCTAGAATGATGTTATTATTTTAAGGACTTGCTTCTTGTCATAACATGTTCCAAGTACTGAGACTCAGCATCCTTACTTCTTATCATCCTCACTTCTAATGAGAACTCTGATTGCACTTCTTCAAAGACAGATTTGTTTGTTCTTTTGTCAGTCTGTGGTATATTCAATATTCTTCTTCAAAGACATAAATTCTTCAATCTTCCTTATTTCTTGCCCAACTTTCACATGCATATAAGCAGCTGAAAAGACCATGGCTTGGGTCAGGAACAGTTTAGCCTTTAAAGTAACATCCTTGCTTGTCAGCACTTTAAAGAGGTCTTTGGCAGGCGAGCTCTGGTGGCCTAGTAGCAAGAAGCTGCAACTGCAAGTTCAGAGGTGCACAGTTCAAATCCACCAGATGCTCTGCTTGAGAAGGAGGAACAATGTCCTCCTGTACCAGTCAGATCTGATTTGACGGTTGTTGTTGTTACGTGCCGTTGAGTCGCTTGCGACTCATAGCGACCCTATGTACAACAGCCCTAAACCCTGCTCTATCCTGTGCCAATCACATTGCCTCTGACACAACCATCCCGATTACCCCAGTCACTGAATCAATCCAACTTATAGAGGGTCTTCCCCTCCTGCGCTGTCCCTCCACTCTACCCAGCATGATGTCCCTCTCTAAAGACTTATCTTTCCTTACAACATGTCCAAAGTATGTCAGGCGAAGCCCTAGAATCCTTGCCTCCAAGGAGCAGCCTTGTTTAACCCTCTCTAGGATGAATCTGTTTGTTTTCTTGGCAGTCCATGGTACATTCAATAATGAAATAAAAAAAAGAGGAAAAAAAAAGAAACACTTTAAAAAAAATAAAATTAAAAAAAAGAGGTCTTTGGCAACAGATTTGCCCATTGCAATATGTACATAAACTGCTAAATGGAACCTATTTTTTTTTAATGTGTGTAAGCTTTCACCAAAACCATAGCATTTAATAACAAAAAGGTGGCAGAAACGGAAGCCCTCAGTTCTATGGCCACAAGAAAACTAATTCTGTCAACAACCTGAGTCAACTTCTAAGTGACTTCTTCCTCAGCTGATCTTTGAACAGGCAGCCCAGCCTGGAGTCACAGCAGCCACTTTGGAATCATGAGGTGAAGAACAAGAGGGGCAGACACACCAAGTTGGTGGTGCCTTGATATCACAGACATGCCAACCTCTACATTCATGTGACATAATGAAGCATCGTCAAAGTTCAAGCGCTTGTGAGTCAGTCTCTGTTATTTTCAACTGAAAATACTCCTAACTGATCTGCAAGAGATGCATCACAAATGCAGGGCTGAGTAGTAACACCCAACGCAGGCCCTCAAAGGGCTTACTATCAGAGATAAGATGAACATTTAAAAATGAGATCTGTGAATTAAGCACCTGGTGCTCCATCCTGGAAGTGGCAAGCACAGTTGGATTCACACATATTTTATATCTGCATTTCCATACAAAAGCTATAGTCAGAGATGTGCACAAACAGCAACCAGCAAGCTGGGTAAAACAGGGAAAGACAGACCAACAGGCTCACCTGCTGGGCCACAGACCCTCGGAAGTCCTGCAGCACCTGCAGCATCTGGAAGATGTCAAACGCATGCACCACCTGGATCCTCTGGAGAGCTTCTGCCTAAAGGGGTGCAGGAGAGAAGAAAGGGCTTTGGGTGAAAAGGAACAAGGGGTCAGGAAAGGAGATGAAGAAGAATTGGAAGGCTATGAAAGAAGAGAGAACTAGAATCAAGATCTTAAGCCTAAGATGTCAAATGAGCTTTGTCTAATGGGTGAGTTCTCCCAGCAGTGATTGCCTGGGTACTGGGCTGGAAAGTTAAGTCAGAGATCAGCAGGAAAGAGTGATGGGATTGATTAATGCTGTCTGCTATGGGCAAGAAATGAACTGGAAACACCGATGCTGAGTATTCGCCAGTACTGGTGTAGAGTCTGTGAGGAGCTGGGAGGTTTCCTGAAGTGCTGTAGGCAGCACGTACACAGGGGTGATGGCATTCACAGGGGAGATGTAAAGAATGCAAGAAACATTAACAGCACAATAAGTTATGAAGCAGGAAGTGACTACCGCCCAAATGGCCAGGCTTCTTGCAGTGTAAAGAATAATGGGGTCTTCTCAAGCCAGTCACTCCTCCAGAACCCAACTCTCCTCCCCTCACCTGTTCCTCCTCATCCTGGGTCCTGGCCTGAAGCAGCTGCAGGAGTCGGGAGGCTGTCAGACCGCCACTGGAATCGATGTACAAGACATTCTGTTGCAAACTATGGGCCACGTTTGCAGCCGTGCAAAGACATACCTGTGTACAGGCCAGGGGAACAGAGTGAACTCGAGCGCACAGCAAAGACCCAGGATGGGGTTCTCCACCAAACAAGCAGGTCTTAGCCCAAATTCCAGTCCCTATTGTCACATTCATGGTCTCCCTGCCCAGCTCTGACTCCCAAGCTCATCTAGGGACCCAAGGCCACGCATCCACTTCCCCATCCCTCCTGGCTGCTGGCCTCAATTGTACCTGAGTTTTGCCGCTACCTGGGCTTCCTACAAATTCAGTCACTTCTCCAGTGTAGAGACCAGTATCAAGCAGTCTGTCCAGGCTAATGAGAGTTGAAAAGAGAAGACAATCAACCCAGGGTGTTGGGGAAAGCAGAAGGAGTTAGGTTTCTGGGAAGAAAGCAAGACATCCCTTCTAAGTACTGCTCTGTCCAGTGTTCCAAATGTCTCTGGCCCGGAGGCTTCTAGTGGATTTCATCCTGGGAAGGAGGACCCAGCTAGCTAAATGTACTCTGTTGGCCTCTCTTCATCCTTCACTCTGAATTAAACATCCTTCTCCAGACAAGTCTCTGCTTTTCCATCAAGGTCCTGCTTTCATTATCCATTTCAGACCCACTTGCGTTTCCTTGATAGCATTTCCTGTCATTTGTAACTATTTTTAATAGTTTGAAATAATTACACATTCATAAGAAGTTGCAAAGCAAAACATGTAAGGGCTGTTGTTATGTGCTGTCCAGTCAGAAGTGACTCATAGCTGACCCTCCAGCAGGTTTTCAGAGGCTGTAAATCACACAGGAGGAGGCTGCCCATATTTCTCCTACAGAGCAGCTGCTGGATTCGAATCACCTGTCTTTGGACTGGCAACACAATTCCTTACCAATAGGCTACCAGAGATTATAGTTGATAGAAAACATAAACTAAGGTAACAGGACTAAGTCTAAATATATCATTATTCATAATAAATGTAACTTGGTTAAATTTCTCAATTAAAAGAGATTCAATTCCAGCTTTTTAAAAAAAATCTTTCCATTATCTAGTCATATACACTTCAAGCAGTCTCCAGTAGTGGTGCCACTCTGGATACAGTATAATATAGCCAAGAAACTGGTATTGGTCCAATTCAGAGCTTATTCAGATTGCACCATTTGTTTGTGGCATTTTATCATATGAAGTCTCTGGGTGGTAGTGCAAAGGGCTGAGTGCTTGAATACTAACCGAAAGGTTAGCAGTTCAAATTCATCCACAGAGACCTTGAAAGAACTGACAACTTCTGAAAAAGCTAAAACCAAAACAACTCCACCACCACTGAGTTGATTCCAACTCACAGGGAGCCCATGTGCTACAGAGCAGAAATGCTGTGTCCTCAGCTGTGATCCCTCCAAAACAGGTCTTTCCTCCATAGTGTGGTTAGGTGGGTTTGAACTGTCATCCGTGTATGTGGTTCCATTCTGAAACACATGGGGCTGTCATGAATCAGAATCACTCTGACAGCTACTGATCTACGGCTTGTTTTGTTCTATGGGTTTTTTTGGTAGCTCTGTATAACTACCACCACAATCAGTATGTCTTTCTTGTGCAACTGTTTGCACAAGTGAGCTCCATCCCTCACACCCATCCCATCTCTAACCTATTAGATGCAATAACTGATCCTAGTCTCTATTGTTATTTTGAGACTATCATATAAATAAAATCACCCCACATGCACCCTTTGAATTTTGGTGAGTTGTTTGGTTTTTTTTAACTCAGCATCATTCACGCTTCTCCGAGGGCGTTATATATATCAACACTTCCATCTCTGATATGGCAGCATACCATTCCACTGTATACAAGTGCCACAATATGTTTGAGCAGTTTACTAATTGAATGGCATTTTGGTTGTTTCCCTTTTAAAAAAAATCTGATTTTTACAAAAGTGTAGAGAAAAATTAGATTTTCATTGTGTTCCATTTTTGTGTATTATCAATAAAACTGCCATGAACATGTGTGTCCAGACTTACATATGCATCATACACAAGTGTTCACTGAAGGAGCCCTAGTGGGGCAATGAGCCCTGGTGGCAGAGTGGTAATGTACTGGGCTGCTAACTGAAAGGCTGGCAGTTTGAACTCACCAGCCACTCTACAGGACAAAGTTGGGCGGTCTGAGAAACCTAACAGAGGGTTGCCATAGTCGGCCCAATGGTGAGGTACTCATGTTCACAGATAAATGTGTAATGCATCCAGAGCCATAGTCTGCCAAACTCAAACCCTATTCTGTTCCACTGGTCTAAGTATTGACCCCTCTCCTAACACCACACTTTTTAGTCATTGCAGTAGATAGTCTTAAATAACATATAGCGTGATCTCTCTTTATCTACTTTATCTTTCTTTTTATGGCATGCTCTATGTCTTTTTATCCTCTGTATCTTTCTTTTTCACAGATACGTTCTTTGCCTTTCCATACAAATGTTAAAACAAGCTTGTCTATATCTACAAAAAAATCTTGCTAGGACTTTGACAGGGATTTCATTAGATCTATAGCTCAATTTGGGTAGAAATGATATCTTTATTATGTTGAGTCTCCCAATCCTGGAACAGTTGTCTCTACCATTATTTGAGTCTTCTTTGATATCTTTTATCAGCAATTCAAAGCATTTTCAACCTACAGCTCCTATACATGCTTCATTACATTTATACCTAAGCATTTCATTTTCTTTGGAGCAACTGTTAAGGATGGTACATTATAAATTTCCATTTTGACCTGTTCATTATACACATTATTTGTATACAGAAACGTGATTGCTATTTGGCTGCTGATACCCTACAATCCTGATGAATTCACTCATTTGTTCGAGGAGTTTGTAATCATTTCCGATTGCATAGCAGCATTTGTGAGGCTGGTGAAGAACCGTCAGTGCTTTGTTCTGTTGTATACAGGGTCACTGTGAGGCAGGGCCAACTTGACAGCATTTATCGACCGTCTCTGTCTTTTTCTCTCATTAAGCTGAGGATGCTCTGGGGGCAAGGACTAGACTGGGCCATGTCCACTGTTGCATCCTCAGCACCAGCACAGTGCCTGAGACACAGGACGTGCAAAAATGTTACTAGACTGACTGCTGAGTGCTAGAATTATGCTATGTAAGGCAGGCTGTGGAGGCCCTGGTAGAAACCCAATGCCCACTGCCACTGAGTGAGTTAATTGTGACTCCCAGTGACTTTACAGAACAAAGTGGAATTGTCCCGTAGAGGGTAACCTTGGAATCCAGCCTTCTGAAATGGTTCTTGAAAGCCTCCTGTGACTTCTCAGCGTTGCCAAGCAGCACCTTGATAAACTGTCCATCTATTTCAGTGCAAGGTCCCTCCAGGGCAAATACTCTAGTTACCCTGCCAGCTCCCTGGCTTTGGGGAATAATCGTACCCACCCTCACCCAGTCTCTGCCCCTCCCATGGAGGACAGAGATCCATTTCTCATCCAACAGTCATTCTCCACCTCTGGTCCTCAAACCAGCGGCATCGACATCACCTGCGTACGGGTTAAAAATGCACATTCTCAGCCTCACTCCAGGCCTACAGAATCACGAGTTCTGAGGATGAACCATACACGTGTTCTTAGCAAGGCTTCAAGGTGACTGATGCTCAAATACAAGAACCACCACACCTCATGATTCTCAACCCCATCTGCACTTTAAAATCACTCACAGGTTTTATGTTTGTTTTTCTCTTAACAAAAGGACTGAATCACTGATTCCTAAACTTGTCTGTACTGGAATCATTTATGGAGCCCCTACTGCCTGCGTCTCACCCCCAGAGAAGGTGGTTTAACTGGTCCAGGGGAGGCCTGGGCTTCAGAATGTTTCAAGATTCCCCAAGTAATTCCATTGTGCAGTGAGCTTGGGTACCACTGGCCTAGACAATAAGCCAGAACTTCTAGATGGGGACTGTAAGCTCCCCTTTAATTCTAATATACTGCCAGGGTTGAACTACTGGTCTTGACTCACTGGCCAAGAATCAACTGCATCTTTGCCTGTAAGGATCACTCTGCACTTGGAATTCCCAAATCTGCCTGCCCACCCTGACTTCTCACTTGTTTCAGCTCCTGGAAGCTATGTCAACAGCATTTCTCCATGTCTCCTACGGCCTAGAGGACCTTTTTCCCCTATATTCAACATGGTCTGCTTATCTCTAACTCAGCACCTAAACATGCAGAGTCATCCACCCTTAAAAGCCCGCCATATACACCTGGCTAAAAAAGTATACCCAGCTAGAATACAAATGGTTTCTGTGAGCTATCCTCCACCTTGATCCTCTGAACTGGCTTTCAGGCATTCATTCAAATAATGTCTGAAGGTCTCACATTACCGAAGGCTTTATCCTAAAATAATAAACTACCATCCATGTTATCAATTAATGTGATGTGGTGCCTGGTGTGGTACTGTGATCCTGGAAGCTATGTCAATGGCATTTCAAATACTAGTGGCATCACCTATAGCAGACAGGTTTCAATGGAGCTTCCAGGCTAAGACAGACTAGGAAGAAAGACCTAGAAATTAATTTCTGAAAATTATTAGTCAATGAAAAGCTAATAAACAAAAACTGACTGTTGTGCAATATGGTGCTACCATCACGAAAACGGCACAGGACCAGACAGCATTTTGTTCTGTTGGGCACAGGGTCATTATGAGCCAGAGATATCTTAACAACTAACAAGAAATGACCAAGAGCTAGGTCTGGCCTTCAAGGATCAGCCAATCTCCCCATCAACTCAGCTCTCTCCAAGGCATGGAGCATGCTCAATCCCCCTCTCAAAGATTCACACAGCACATCCTCATTAAAGGCTCTGAGAAGGCCTGCAGCAAAGAAGCCTGCTTAATCCTAGGATTTAAAAAAATGTTTGGCTATGGAACCCTCCCCTCCTCATGCTCATTTTAAAGTTATAGCCATTAACAGTTCCCAGAGCAGTGAGGAAGGCTAGAAACTAGGAGTGTAATCTTTGATTCTCTACACCCAAACCTACTGGTAGTGCGGCCATTCACATTTCTTCTACAGTACTGTCATCGCCCTAGTGTGAACTCACACACTTCTCACATACACCTTGCCCCGCCTCTCAGCCTCTCTCCTAAAAGCCTCCCCAGCCCCATCTGCCCCACAGATCTCTATAGGTTAAAGCTCCATTTCCCAATACTCGTGAAAGCTACAGAGCAGATGGGCTAAGCTTTCAGATTTAGGAGTTAGACAAGCATGACTTCAAATGCCTGATCTGCCACCTACAAGCTGTGCAGCCTCGAGCAAGTCACTTAACCTGAGTCTCACTTTCCTCATTTATAAAATGACGGTTTAAATCGTACCACCCTCATTGGTGGCTGTGGAGAATGAATGGGATAACGCACTGTGGAGTGCTGAGAGCACAGCTAAAGCCCACCCATCATTCCTCCTGGTCCAACACGAGCCTCCTTCAGAGCATCCCCAAACCACACTGTGCTCTTTAATGACCCCCTGCAACCGTACCACACGACTGCTCCCCAAATGCTTCCCCTGTGTATGCTGGTCTTATAAACTCCCTAAGCCCCAAAATCAAGTCTTCTGCTTCCTGTTCATCCCTCCCTAACAATACCTCCCTACCTGCTTATACCCCTCACTCTTGTTCACCTGCCTTCCTGCCATGCATGTTAGACTTCCTGTCATACTTGCTATAGCCCCATAAACCTTAAGGGCAAGAGCCTTGCCTCCTCTATATGTAGCTCCAGAGGTGTGCCTGACACCTAGTAGGCACTCAATGAGCTCTGTTGAACAAGCTTCATGCTGAGCACTCAGTAGGCCCTCAATCAATGCTTAAGAAATAATAGAGCTGGACCCCAGCCTGGGAGAGCAAACCCCATGCTGCATGAACCTTGCCAAGAGGCCATGTTATAGAAACAGCCAGCGTCAAACCAATCTAAAACCCTTTGTGGTGGCAGAGTTATTCATCAAATTCTACACAAACATGCCAGGCAAGGGGTCAGAGTCGCTTAGCCAGAAAATGCCTGTCATCTTCCAACGCTTTCTGTCTGCAAACAATGTGGGAGAATGTTAGCTACTTTACATAAGCTCTCTCCCTATTTCTTCAGAATATGGTGGATGAACCGTGTTCTGGGTCAGAGTCACTGGTCGTGTCATACTTCTGCCAAACTCGCAGGCTAAATTCAAGTGGGGTTAATAATTATCAACTCCTAGGGTCACTGGTAAAACTCTGGTGGCTTAGTGGTAAAGAGTTGTGCTGTCAATCCAAAGACACACGGATCAAATCTACCAGCTCTTCCATGAGAGAAAGATGGGCAAACTCTTTCGAGGATCTGCTATGATTCTATGATTTGGTTCCGGGTGGACAGCAATGAAAACGACAAGAGGATGATGTTCTTTAAGTGGCCAGGAGTGGGCCAGAGGAGAGTTGCTCCAAGTCACTAGAAAAGATGACACTGGCATCTTAATGTTAAAGAACACTGGTTCTTAAATGTTGTTGTTGTTGATCTCCTTTGAGTTGAGCACGACTCACAGTAACCCTGTGAACAAAAGGCCTGAAGCCTTTCTATAACTATCAACATTTTTCAAAGTTCATATAGTTTCTGGAGGCATGCTGTTTAGGAAGTGGATGCCACTGTTGCTTCCAGGCCTGTCTTAAACTGGGAGCTCCACCAAACACTGTCTACCATGGGTAACAATTATGGCATTTTTTTTTTTTTCCCCTTTTCTCTTCTTCTCCCTGCCTCTTTTTTTTTTTTGAAACAGTCCCTCGGCCAAGGACTATCCACGTAGGTTTGTATCCAAAGACGAAATTTGTAGGTGAAAGGAGTTAGGAGTCAGCCTTCGTTAGAGACTGGTTCATTTCAGGGTCGAAAATATGGAACGCTTCACGAATTTGCGTGTCATCCTTGCGCAGGGGCCATGCTAATCTTCTCTGTATCGTTCCAATTTTAGTATATGTGCTGCCGAAGCGAGCACGGCATTTGACACCCCAATGACACAAGGTTCAGAATCACAGCAATCCCAGGTTACCTCAATACAGTGTATTGAGAGAAAAGTGTTGTACCACTTAGAATGTTCCTCCAAAATAACAACCAACTTTAAATACAAAGATCTTTTCCAAGGTTTTGTTGACTCTAAACAAGAGGCTTAAAAAAACCCCAAACACAACAACAACAAAAACCCCAACAACCAATATGGTTTGTTAAGTCGTCTGCGATGTATAGTGACCCTATTGACTTTTCAATAGAAGGGGTGATTTTGTCCCCTGGGAATCAATCAGCACTATCTGGAGACATTTTTACTGTCATGGCTGAGGAAAGGGGTGCTACTGACACCTAGTGGGTAGAGGCCAATGATGCTGCTAATCATCCTGCAAGGCACGCAGCAAGTTTTCCCACAACAAAGACCTCTCCAGAGCACTTGCTAACTGATGTTGCTGCTGACAAACCCAGCTATAAGGTAAGATGACTCTTAAATCTGGGCCCTTTTCCGTTCCCTCTACCCAATGCTGTCTTCAGATTCAAACATCAAAAGCTGAATCCAAGAAGAGGCCTCCTCCAGCCTCACACCTTCTTCCTCCAAGAAATACACACACAAACCTTGCAATGCCTGTGGACAGGATGGCAGTGGTGGTCTTCAGCTCCTCATAGAGATCAGCGCCATTGGAGGGGAAAGCTGAGAACTGGGCTAACAGCACCCGCCTCACAGCAACCAGGGCCTGCCAAGCAGGGGGGACCCACTCAGGAGCCACCAAGGGCACCCCATCCAAAGAAGCCCCCAGCGATCTGCCCGTGTAAGGGGCACTCCTGGTCTCACACCTCCCTTCCAATACCTGGGAACCCTTTACTCCTTTGGCTCTGGAGACTGGAGATGGTCCGCTCACCTTATAAGACAAGCCACACGTCTGGGCTACCTCTTCCAGGTTTGCAGAAACCAGGTCCACTACTGAAAACAAAATACCTGGAGGTGACTGCCAGGAAGGGGGACCTGTGGCTTCTCACACTTGGCTTTTGCTCATCCGTGTCTACCTGAGTACCAGGTCTACATCAAAGCAGGTAACCTGGGGAGCCCACGTGAACCCGCACTGCCACAGGACCTCCAGGCACCCAGGAGGCGGGACACTTCCTCCAGAAGCGCCCATGGGGAGGGGCAGGGAGTGCCCCTCCAACGGATTAGGGAAAGCGCCCCGCAAGCACTCCAGGGGTCCCCCGTGTGTCTGTGTGGAGTCCGCGACGCCCTGGCACGCGCACCCACGCGGTCACCTGTCCGGATTCCGCGGCTCCTCAGAAGCTGGACCATCTCGAGCGAGAGACCCGGGCACAGCCCAGCCCTGAGCACGCCCATGTGCCCCGCAGGCCCGGGACAGCGCGGGAAGCGGGGCTGTTCGTCACACGGGCGACGCCAGGCCCGCGCTGGACGCCTCTCGGCGCCGCTGTCTGGAAGGCGGTCCCGCGGCGCCCGCAGCAGGACGAGAGGCCGGCGAGCGGCCGGTGCAGAGGGACCCGGTCGGCGATGCCCCGCTCCCGCTCCCGGGGCCCGCGCGCTTCCGGGTTCCGGGTTCCAGCCTCTCGCGCCGGCCTGGGCCGGGCTTACAGCGCCACCTGCTGGCCGCGCGGGAGGGCGAAACGGGGGCCTCGCGGGCGGTGGAGGCCGGGGGTGGGAGGTTCCACCCTTCCCTCAACAACCCTGTTCTACAGGTTCACACGCGACACGATGCTCATCACGCCACACAGTGTGCACTCGCACCACGTCTGTCCCTGTGTCCGCGTCCTACCTCGTTATTCTTTGGCTGACTCTGTCCCCGAATCAAGTACACACACATATTCCAATAACACGTGGACACACAGCACATACCCTTCTAATGACTCTCCACTGTGCCAACTTCTGTTCTAAATGCTCGGAGCAAAACTTTAAGCAAGACCGACAAACCTCTATATCCTCAGAGAGCATGCATTTCAGTGAGCGAAAGATGACGAAAACAATCAAGCCGATAAATCAGACAATTACAGATTATAGTTGTTGTTATGTGCCGTGGACTCGCTTGCGACTCCTAGCGACCCTATGTACAGCAGCCCTAAACCCTGCTCTATCCTGTGCCAATCGCACTGTCTCTGACACACCCATCCCGATTACCCCAGTCACTGAATCAATCCACCTCAAAGGGGGCCTTCCCCTTCTGCTCTGTCCCTCCACCTTACCAAGTATGATGTCCCTCTCCAAGGACCTGTCCCTCCTTGCAACATGTCCAAAGTATGTTAGAATCCTTGCCTCCAAGGAGCAGCCCGGTTTAACCCTCTCCTAGATGAATCTGTTCGTTTTCCTAGCAGTCCATGGTACCCTCAATACTCTTCTCCAGCACCAAAGTTCAAAGGCATCAATTCTCCTTCTATCCTCCTTTTTTTTTTAAATTGAGATTTTAATGAAAGTTTATAGAGAACTTGAATTTCCATCCATTCATTGTTGCCCGTTTTTCTCCCTGCCCCAGCCCCAGTTTGCTTTTCTCTTTGAAAAAAAAAATTCTTTGATTGAAACAGACAAGGGAGAGAACTGTATAAAAGGAATATGTGATTAGGGATTATTGGCATGACAAGAGTCCAGAATAAGAGCTGCATAGTAAAGTGGACTGGGTTGGGGTGGTGGGGGATTTCATTGGATTTTTTAAAATATTTTTTTTATTTTCATATCATAATATCTTTACAGCATGTTTTATTCATATGCATTGTGTTTTTTGTTTTTTCATTTTTATTTTATTATTTTTTGTGTGTGTGAGTGTACCGTCAAATCAGATCTGACTGGACAGGAGGAGATTGTCCCTCCTTCCCCGGCAGAGCATCTGGTGGATTCAAACCGAGCGCTCTGGGATTGTAGTTGCAGGTCCTTGCCACTAGGCCACCAGAGCTCCCCTATATGCATTGTGTTTTATACAGTCTTTCATTTACATTGTGTTTCCTACAATCATTCATATACATTCTAGTTCACATTATTTTTATACTATTTACCAAATTTGAATAGTTTTTTCACACCAGATACTTCCCGTTTCCCTCAGCCCCTCACTCATCATATTGTGCGACCACATGATTAATCCTCCCCCTCCCCCCACACCCTCACCCATCTGCTTGCACCGCAGATGGATTTCATTGTTTTTATGTGCTGTTGAGTAAGAACTGGCACATAGCTGAGCACCCAGGGAGTTTTCAGCTGTAAATCACACACTGAAGGAAATTTCCCATCTTTCTCCCTCACCAAGGACTTATTGTTTTTAGGTGTCATTGAGTCAACCACAACTGATGTCAAAACTGTGAACTATCAACCTGAACCTTGTCTTATCCTGCATTATCGTCATCATCTGTCATATGCAAGTCCATCGTCTTCTATCCTCCTTGGTCATTGTCCAACTCTCTGATGCATAACAAGTAATAGCAAAGACCATGGCCTGTATCAGAAGCACCTTGGTCTCCAAAGAGACACCATTGCTCTTCAGTACTTTGGAGAGGTTCCTAACAGCAGATTTTCCCATGGCAATGCGTCTTTTTATTTCCTGGCTGCTGGTGCCGAGAGTGTTGACTGTGGAGCCAAGCAAACTAAAGCTGTGTACAATCTCAATCTCTTCACCATCCATCCTGATGCTGCCAATTGGCCCAGTGGTGAAAATCTTTGTCTTCTTGACATTGAGCCTCAATCCATATTGGAGGCTGCAGTCCTTGATTATAGACAGGTGTCAAAATCAGCAATGAATTTAGAGGCACTTATCTGAATTCCAAATTTCCTTTTAAAGACAAATTGCAATAAAATCTGAATATGTAAACTACTACACAAATGACTTAGTCTGCTTGAATGGCTTTTTCTTTGGCTTGTCAACTGGAAAAAAAAATAAAAACAGCTTTAAGCCTTTCTCTCTTTTCCATTCTATTAGAGAGGTGTTCTTTTTACTCCCATTTTACAGATGAGGAAAACAGAGGTTAAGCGAGGGTAAGTCACTCGCCAAAATCTACACAGCTAGAAAGGGCTAAGCTAGACTTCATATCCACGTTTCAGTGCTGTCTCCAATTACTCCAAGTTATCTATACACCTTCCCACTGTAGTGGTGGTTTCCTCGGGAGTAGAGATAATGTCTGATTTCTCTCTGCTGTCCTAGAGGTAAGTACTTGTGCTGCCAACACAGAGGCACTAGTTTGAACCACACAGCTGGTCTGCAGAAGAAAGATGCCAGTCTCCTCCGAGGCAAAGTACTGCCTCTGACAACCTGCTGGGGGTCATCTATGAGCCAATTCTGACTCGTAGGCACGTAACAACAACATCTTTATGTCCCTCTGTAGTAGTCATCTTTGCCACTCAGTGCATAAATGACGTACCTGGATTTGAGGGTATGGCCTAGGAAGGCTTCTAGCAATGCTGAACCATCTGGATTTTCTGTCTAGCCAATTCACCATTGGGGAAGGGTTGTAGCCAAGGATTTAAAGATACAGAACTTCAATATCTACGTTGTCTCCCAACCCAGAAACCTATGGCAGCCCTGCCTTCCTCTAGGTCCCAGCTGTCTCTTTTTATGCCCGAGTCCTTCTCTAACCAGCCCCCTCTGCCTTCTGAGCGCTGCTCCCTGAAGGGCGTAAGTGTTAAACATCGTGAAATCGTCACAGAAGTGCAAAGCTGCTATACCAGCAGAACAGTCAAGTTCTTTCTGTACACACAGTCCTTTGCCTGGCTCTACCCCTCTCCCAACACTTGCTCTGTGAGCTGCGCCCCCCACCCCCGGCAAAGCAGGCAGCAGCAGCCTCCCATTGATGCGGAGGTCAGCTCCTGATTGTTACACTCTCCAAGGATTATGAAGTCATCTTGTTGCATCCTCATCCCACCCAAAGTAAGGGTTGGTTCCCTGTACCCACACTTTCTCTCTGCTTCATATCAGTGTGGTTGTCCTGCACAGTGACAGCCGTGGTCCCAAACCAACCAGATGGCATCAAAGGGACTCCACCAAGTGGGAGATGGGGAGAAGACCATGCTGAAAAAGGAAAACATCAATGTTTTCAATGCACTCAATCAAAAGCAGCCGTCCTATTCAAACCCCAAGCCTATGAGCCGGACCGTCACTACCAAAGGACTCCCACTTTCCTCCAGGAGTAGTTTGGTTAAATTCTTGAAGGAAGATACCATCAGTGTACAGTAAGATCCAAATCTGGTCCTTTCCCTCTTTATTCCAAAGGCTGGCACTAGGGTGTGGGCAGAGAGACTTGACCTATCACAACTCAGTTTCTGGGCTCCAGGCAAGAGGAAGTGTGCAGAGATGGACCTGTTTATGCATTCCTAAGCCCCAAATCAGCCCATGGAGGTACATGGGCATCCCATTCCAGGAAACCATCCTGGATTGGTCAGAGATTTGTTGATAGGCTCCTTGTTTTACTCTGGCCATAGTCCTCACCTTCCTCCAATCTTTACTCTCCTGCTTGACAACTCTCCCTCAATCTCCATCCTTCGGCTCCTTCACTTGTAGAAAGTGTCTTCCAATAGCCTGCTTTCCTCAGATTGAGGTTTAGGGTTCCCCCTCAGTGATCCTGGTATCCTTTACTTCAAACTCTGAGCCTGGTGATCAGCTTCAAGAATGGTGAGCTGGAAAGTACAGTCATTGCCTCAAGGAGCTCCCTGTCTGGAAGGGCTGGAGGCTCAGGCAATCAGTCATGGGAATGGTACAGTGCATCAGTAAGTCAGGCTATGACAGGACCCATTAAGGAAGCAGAGAGAAGGGAGTTTAGCATAGCTTAGGGTCTGGGGTCAGCCAGAGGAGGCTTCTTGGATTAATATTAGAGCTAGATTTCCAAGCAAGGAGAGGAGTTTGCAAGTGAAGGGTGGTGAGTGAGTAGGGGAATGTGGGCTGAGAGAACCATATTCACAGCCTGTTTCATGGGTATATGACCAGTGAAGTCACTTCAAAGGGCCCTGTGCTTGGTTTCATGTCCTACTAATTGTTATCTTGAAATTCTTAACAATTTTTTAAAGAGGGCCTGGCATTTTCATTTTGTAGCTGGTTCTGATTCTATGAGAGGGTGAACTCTGGTGGATTAGTGGTAAGGAGGTGCACTGCTAACTCAAAGGCATATGGTTCAAAACCTTCAGCTGTTCTGTGAGAGAAAGATAGGCAGTCTCCTTCCATGCATTTAACTGTCTCTGAAAACCAGCTGAAGAGTTAGCTATGAGTTAATTCTGACTTGACAGTACATAACAACTGTGGCAAGGTGGTGTGCTGTCAACCCAAAGGTAGGTAGTATCAATATCACATGCAAGCAAAATCCTGCCGAAGGTTATCTTAAAATGGCTAGACGAGTACATTGACAGAGAACTGCCAGAAATTCAAGATGGATTTAGAAAGGCCATGGCATCTGGGATATCAGATGCCTGTGTCAGACAGATCTTAGCAGAAAGCAGAGAATACCAGAAGAATGTCTATGTTTTATGCACAGGCAAAGGCATTTGACTATGTGAATCATAACGAATTATAGCTAACATCGAGAAGAATGGGAGTCTCAGAACACTTATTTATGCTCAGGTGAAACTTATACCTAGACCAAGAGGCTTTTGTCCAAACAAGAGCAAGAGAACACTACTTGGTTTAAAATAAAGAAAGTCGTATGTCAAGGTTGTATCCTTTCTCCATACCTATTCAAGCTGTACACTGAAGAAATGATTTGAAAAACTGGACTTCATGAAGAAGAATGTTGCATCAGGATTGGAGGATGGCTTATCAACAACCAGCACTATGCAGATAACACAACCTTGCTTGCTGAAAGTTGATGAATACTTGAAGCTCTTGCTGAAGATCAAGAACCACAATTTTCAATATGGATTACATCTCAAACTCAAGAAAACAAAACTCCTAACCACTATGCCAACAGACAGCATCATGAGCAATGAAGAAAAGACTGAATGTGTCAACTATTTCATCTGACTTGGGTCCATAGTCAACATCCTTGGTACCAGCAGTCAAGAAATCAAAAGACAAGTCTCACTGGGAAAATCTACTGTCAAGGAACTCTCTAGAGTACTAATCAGCAATGACGTCAGTTTAAATAGTAAGGTGTGCCTGATCCAAGCCATGGTCTTCTCAAATGCTTGTGTGGATGACAGAAGAGTAACTGATGCCTTTGAGTTGTTGTACTGGAGAAGAGTACTAAATATGTCATGGACTGCCAAGAGAACAAACAGGTCTGTCCTGGAGAAAGTGAAGCCAGGGTGCTCCTTGGAGGCAAGGCATGTATGTTGTAAGGAGGGGGTCAGTCCTTGGAAAAGGACATCATGTTTGCAAAGGCAAAGGGTTAGTGTAAGAGAAAGACCCTCAACCAGTTGGATCAATGAAGTGACTAGCAATGGGCTCAAGTGTGTCAGAGATGGTGAGGATGGCACAGGCTTCCCATCTGTTGTCCATAGGGTCACTATTAATAGGCCCACATAACAACAACATCAGAGTGAATGCTCAAAAATTCTTTCATTCTGTTCTGATTTTTCTCAAATTTTTGAAATCTTTTAAAACAGCCACAAAGATTTTAAGAAAAATATATTAAACTTTTTTAGTAAGCTTCTCCAGCAATTCTTTCCACAAATGTAATCTATTTGATTCCCATGCATACCATCAAGAGAAATCCATGTATATAGCCTGCGTTTGTGTTTCTTATAAAAGGTATTTGCAATGAATAAATCATTGAATGTGCAGAACTCTATCATTCTATCTCCAGCCTCATTTCTGTTATTGAGACCATGTTTTCTGGCTACTGATCCTTCTTCCCTCTTCCCAACTTTTGCGTTCCAGTCGCCCATTATTATCAATGCATTTTTATTACATGTCCGATTGATTTCTGACTGCAAAAGTTGGTAGAAATCTTCCATTTCCTCCTCTTTGGCACTAGTTGTCGGTGCATATATTTGAATGATAGTAGTATTCACTGGACTTCCTTGTATGTGTATGGATATTACCCTGTCACTCACAACATTGTATTTCATGATGAATCTAGAAATGACTTTTTAAATTATGAAACCAACCACATCTTTTTCTCACCTTTTCATCCCTGGCAAAGTAGATCATATGATCATCTGACTTAAAATGCCCCATGCCAAATCATCTCACTTTGCCAATACCTAGCATGTCAATATTTGGGTGTTTCATTTCTTTTATTAACAATGTCCAATTTTCCTACATTCATGCTTCTCACATTCCACATTCCAATCATAATGTCTGTTTATACCTGTTCCTCCTTTGTGTTTCCATATCTGAGATCTTAGTCTCAGTTGCCATATCTGCTCGTCTAAGTGCTAGTCTAAGCTTGCTCTGTTGTACATAAGATTTTCAAAAACCTGATAATTCAGAGTTTCAAAACCATCTCAGGAACAGGTTTGAGGACTTGCGCGCCAATGAGTGTAGATCAAATGAGCTGTGACTTACTGAGAAGAATGGGAATCCCAGAACATTTGATTGTGCTTATGCAAAACCTATACTTGGACCAAGAGGCAGTCGTCAGAACAGAACAAGCAGATACTGCATGGTTCAAAATTGGGAAGAGAGTTCACCAGGGATGTATTTTTTTCTCCATACCTTTTCAATCTGTATGCAGAACAGATCATCTGGGATGCTGGGCTGTACGAGGAGGAACGTGGCATCAGGATTGGTAGAAGATTCATCAACAACCTGTGTTATGCACATGACACAACCCTGTTTGCTGGATCTGAGGAGGACCTGAAGCGCTTGTGGCAGAAGGTCAAGGACTGCAGCCTTCAACATGGATTGAAGCTCAACATCAAGAAAACAAAGATTCTCACCATTGAGCCAATTGGTAGCATTAGTATGGATAGTGAAGAGATTGAGATAGTTAACAGTTTTAGTTTGCTTGGTTCCGCAGTCAACACTTTTGGTATCAGTAGCCAGGAAATCAAGAGACAAATTGCATTGGGAAAGGCAGTTGTCAGGGACCTCCCCAGAGTACTGAAGAGCAACTACACCAGGCCGAAGACTATGGTGCGCCTGATCCAGGCTATAGTCTTCGTAATTGCATGCTATGCATCAGAGAACTGGACAGTGACTAAGGATGATAGAGAATTAGTCTTTGAGCTGTGGTGCTGGAAAAGAGTGATGAACATACCATGGACTGCTAGAAGAATAAACAAGTTTGTCTGGGAGAGAGTGAAGTTGGGCTGCTCCTTGGAGTCAAGGATTATGAAGCTTCATCTGACATACTTTGGGTATGTTGTAAGGAGGGACCACTCCTTGGAGGACAACGACATATTTGGGAGAGTGGAGGGACGACGCAGGAGAGGAAGACTCTCGATGAGATGGATCAATTCAGTGATTGGGGTATTGGGAGTAGGTGTGTTAGAGACGATGAGGTTGGCACCGGATAGAGCAGGATTTAGGGCCCTTGTCCAAAGGGTCACTATGAGTCGCAAGCAACTCGACAGCACATAACAACAACAACATATTAAACTTTTATATATGCACACTCATGTTTATTCCATCAACAAACGAATGGATAAGGAAGCTGTGGTATATTCACACTATGGAATATTATACAAAATGGGTGACCTTGGAGGACATTATGCTGAGTGAAATGTCTGTCACAAAAGGACAAATACTGGACAGTGCCATAGTAAAACATACTGCATAGTAAAACAGGACTGACATCTGGGTTGGGGGGAAGAAGCTGCTGAACAGAGAGAGACTGCCCATATTTCTCTGGTGGTGGAGCACCTAGTGGATTCAAACCACATGCCTTTGGGTTGGCAGCCCAACTCTTTATGAAACCGCCAGAGCTCCCTACTGTTATTTTTTAAAAGATATTTCTCCACCCCTCCTTAGACCATTGTGGTCACCCCCCTGGGGTGTTTGCACCCAATTTTGGAGGGAGGACTCAAAGTTTTAGCAGTGATTCTCAAACTGCAGTTCTCAGAATTTTCTAAGGATCTTATTAAAGATGCAGCTGTCCAGTTGCATCCCAAATCTGCTGACTCACAATCTTTGGGGACCAAGAATCTGCATTTTTATCAAACACCTAGGTAGCTTTGATGCAGGGGACACTGGGAACCAGGCCCAGTGCTGCCCTCAGCGAGTTTCCAGGTTGATGGGTTGAGGTGGTTTTCGTCACCTGGCTCATCTTGCTCACCTGTCTCCTCTTCCTAACCCCACTCCAGGAAGGAGACCCCAGAGGAGGATTCCGAATGCAGCTCTGATGACACCAGCATCTCCTCCATCTCCTCCACCTTGCTGAACCCCATCAAACTGGCTGTCACCCAGCCCAGCAGCAGCTTCTTTGTGCGGATGCTGGAAGGAGAACTGAACAGACTCAGTGCTGTCTCATTGCCTAAGAATGAAGAAAAGAAGGACCTGGCCCTCTGTCCCCACCAATCTCAGACCCAAATACTTCCTGGGGGCCTGCTGGACTTTGACAAGCCCGAGCTGGACACAGACACCTCCTCAACACACTCCGAATCCTCTGTGATTGTGGAAGTTCCTGAAGCACCCTTCATCTATGAACACACAGTCAGCAACTCCACAGCAGTGGTGAGTGTCCTTTGCTTAGATACTTAGCAAAGGCCTCTCCCCCCAATTCCTTGTGCCAGGCCCTGAGCTGGGTGCTGGAGGAGTATGAAGATCCCTCTGACCTGCGTGTTCAAAGATCTCTAATGCAAGCTTGAAAGGGCTCAATGTTGCAAGGAAGATTCAGATCATGGGCCACTAGGAACTCAGGCAAAGAAACTGGACTCTCAGTTACAGAAATCAGCCTGGTAGTGTTGGGTAATTTGAGCTGGGAGGGTAATTTGAGCAGAGGTAGGATTTAAATATCAAGAGATAGAGAAGAAAAGGCATTCAGTGGGTGAAGGCTAACAAGGGTGAAGGCTAGCAAGGGCTCCCAGGTGGGGAGGTGTGGGAGGAACCAGGGGCTCATGTGATCACAGCTCCTAACCAGCTACAGCTCACCTACTTCACAGGTTCAAACTCAGATTCCCAAGCCTCATCCCCTTGGGTTCTGCTTGACAAAGCGTGGGGTAGGGCCTGAGAATTTGCATTTCAAACAAACTGCCAGAAGATGTTGATACTGAGAGAGAGAGAGACAGAGACAGAGAGAGAAAGGGGGTCACTGAGTCTGGGGTCGTTTTATGGAGATTCTTCAGTGTTAAAAGCTGTGTCTTGGGGTTGTGGATGTAGTCCAAGCTCATCCAAGCTGTATTTATGAAAACAACCGGCAAAGTCCAATGTTTGGAGGGAGGACTTAAAAGTTAGTTCTCAGAACACCTGCCTATGTGAGAATCATCTAATGATCTTCTTAAAGATGCAGCTTCCCCAGTCCCATCCCCAAACTGTTGGATGAGAATCCCTAGGGACCAGGCCAGACTAGAAACATCAGCAACTTGATATACAAATGTCCAGCCTCTTACTTTATGCCTGCTAAGTCATTGCTGAACCCAGCAATCTATTTTGTTTTATTTAATTGTGATTTTAATGGAAGTTTATAGAGAACTTGTATTTCCAGTCATTCATTGTTACACATTTTCCTCCCTGCCCCCAGTTCACGTTTCTCTTTGAAAAAAAAAAATTCACTGTCCACTTTACTATGCAGCTCTTATTCTGGACTGTTGTAATGTAAATAATACCTTATCATATATTCCTTTTAAGCAGTTCTTTCCCTCATTGGTTTCAATGCACTGTACATTACTTAACCCTCTTTTCTTTGTTTTCCCCTAACCCTGATGTCAGTCAATCTAAGTGTCAATCCACAAACAAAAGGATAGAGAAGCTGTGGTATATTCACACAATGGAATACTATGCACCACTGAAAAACAAGAAACTCATGAAATAGTATACAGAATGGGTGACCCTGGAGGACATTATACTGATAGAAATATCTCAGTCACAAAAGAACAAATACTGCATAATGCCACTGTTATAAAACAGCAGTCTGTTTTTAACAAGTCCTCCAGGTTATATTCTAGGGAGTTCTCACGGTCTGGTCCATAGGGAGTTGCTCTACCAACCTAAAGGTGGCACTTCACTGTTGGTTCATAACTACCGGCATCTCTGCAGGAGAGAGATGGGCAATCTCTCCTGCAATTTAGTTTCCAAAAATCTGCTGGAGAATCAGCTATGAGTTGGTTTCAACATGACAGCAATGAGTTTGAGTTCTCCATAGGAGCGTGGATAGGAGACAGAAAGTCCAGGAATTTGAGAGTAACTTCTCAAATTATTATAAAAGCTAATCAGGATGCTTATTAGGTTTGAGATCCACTGTTACAGTGCAAACTCTATGGGCTTGGGATTGGATCTGGAGCTTGGCATTGCTAAATTGCTATGTGACTCTGGGCAAGTCACTTTCTTTGGCTTTCTAATTCCATCTGCAACAAGCAAGGTGGAAAAGATAGTCTCTAAGGTTCCTTCGAGCTGAGGAAGTACCCTAAGGTGGGTGGGACTGCCCTGTATGAAGAGCATGTCCTATGGAACAATTTATTCAGTGTGACACCGGAGTGCCTTACCCCTCCCAACAGACTTGCTTCAGTAACAGCAGGTGCAGGGATGCCAGTGGGAAATTCTGAACAACTTGGGTGGTGGGAGGTACCGGACAGGCCTGAGCATGCCTTGTGGTTCTTTCTTCAGATTTCCTGGACCTATGCTTTGGGCAAACAGCAGGCCAGTTTTTACCAAGTCCTGCTGCAGGAGGTGGCCAAGGTCAAGGACAATGAGCAGCCCAAGACAAAGAACCGCCCATGGATCTTCAACAAGATCTTGGGCACCACCATCAAGCTGATGGAGTTGAAGCCTAACACCAGTTACTGCCTCACTGTCCGTGCAGCCAACACAGCTGGCGTGGGCAGGTGGTGCAAGCCCTATAGAGTAAGCTCTAGGGGTAATGGTGGGTCGGGATGGAGAATGTGATGCCAGCAAACTGGGTGCTTTTGAAGGTTCGGAACACTCCTCTGCCCCTCAGAATCTATCGTTTTGCAGCGCTCCCTCAAAGGCAGATAAACAATGCTAGGCTTTCTTCTGAGATTTAAGGATTGAGTTACTCTGGGATCTACTAGGAATGAAGCATCACTGTTTACCATTTAGAGTCTTTGATTTCAGGATGCCACAACTCAGTATTAGTGAGTGCTCCAGGAAGCCAAGGGTGTGGAGAGAGAAATGGGGAAGACATGAAGATCAGCCTGGGGGTGGGATCAGCAGAGGGGGAAAGAGCCCGAGTTCTCACACATCACACAAATGGGTTTCAGTCATGCCTCTGTCAGCTTTTTGGTAGACAACCTTGATTCAAGGGCCCTTTATGGGCCTATTTTCTGTGTCCTAGATTGTTGGTGGTTATCAAAGATCCCATCTAGCAGACTACCTAGAAAGACTGAGATAAAAAGCAGGCCAGGTTCAGGTCTGGGAAACCATTTGGCGGGGTTTTCTTGTTTTATTTCAGTTTGCAACGGTGGCCGACTTGAACAGCTTCCCTGAGAACAACCCGATTCAAATCACGGTGCGGCGCAGGGCACCTCAACGGAGGACGGTGACCATCAGGCCTGATGAGATGCGGAGACTAGAGGATCTTGAATATTTATGTCCCTACTAAGGGAGAGGACCCCCAGGAAGCCCCTGAGCTACTCAGCTCATGCCCAGAGCCCACAGGAGCCAGAACCATGAGACATACACCTGGGGTCAACTTGGGCTAGCCAGGCCCAGCCACCACTGACAGCAACTGGTCTCCTTGTCCCCACATCTGGGTTGGGTCCAGGCTCCTATTAAAGAACTGCAGGCCACTCAGCCCCCATGGATTTTGTGTCATGCTGGGGACAGTCACAGCTGGGCCAACTGCCACTCATCTTCCTGACTGCTAAGACCAGACAGGAGAGTCCAGGTGGGCGAGCAGGTGAAAAGGAGGGGTGGCCAAACAACAGGAGATATCAAAACCAATTGCTTGGCTCTACCATCATCATCCTCCCAAAGGGAGGAAGAGACTGGCAAACAAAGGTGAAATAGAAAACACTTGAAAGAAGGAAAACGGCAGTTTGGGGACGAGGTGGTTAGGTATATATATCACCTAAGATTTATGGGTGTTTCTTCATTTTTTTTTTAATTAAAAAGTGTGGGACCTTCTAGGGCACAGCTCCAGGGTTCCTATGAGGTCCAGGAAAGAGAAGTAACCTTGCTCCTTGTTCAGTCTCCTCGCTGCAGAGATGTGTAAGGTGCAAACACAACCACAGCAATGCAGTGAGGTGCAAAATCCTGCGTGCAGGGGAGCAGGGAAGGGTTTTACAAGGATGGTTTGGAAGCTCTACTCGAGCAGGTATCAACGGAGGCACGAATGAGGATGAGAACTTGGTCAAGGATCTGAGAGCAGCCGGTGGGGATCCCTTTCATGACTTCTAAGACCACAAGGAGGACTCTGTGCTCTGCAGAAGCTGCAGGAGAGGCTGAAGACAGTGTCCCTTAGGGCACACTGTCCAACAGAACTCTCCTATACCTGCTGTGTAGGCCAGTAACCTTTCATCTCAAGTGACTGAGGAACTGCCTTTCTAAGTCTTTCATTCTAGTGAACAGACTGAGGCACATGTGGCTAGGGGCTGCCACAGCACAGCCTTAGACGGTCCTCTCTGGCTCCTTTCGGCCAGCTTGAGTCAGCTCCCTCCTGCTGGCTGGGTGGAGGCGGCAGTCACGTGGCCTCCCTCAGACAGGCAGAGCAAGTGGAGGAGAGGTCGCATTCCGGCCCGTATAGTTTTAGTGTACAGTCCATGTAGAGTTGGGAGGCTAGACAAACAGCTGTCCTTGGCTGAACCCTGGGATTCTCAAGGAGTTACAGCCCGAACACGTAAAATATAAATAATTTATTTTATCAAAGAATCTGCAATCTGATCCTGAAGAGAGCTTGAGGATAGAGGCAGGAAGCAGCAGGGGTCCAGCCATACTGCCAGCCTCCGCCAAGACCAACAAAGGAAAGGGTGATGGTCAAGGGCTGAGCTCTTGATGACGTCCAGCGGCCTTGGACTTGCAGCTCTAGGTGGTCTAGACAGACAAGCTGTGGGAGATCCCACTAGAGTCTGTCCAAGGACAACAGAACCTGCTTGCAGGGTCCCCTCTGGGGACATGGCTGTGTGAACTGTCACCGTGTCTTTGGTCGCAGTAGGCAGCTGGCAGTGGCGGAGTCCAGGTGGGAGTCAGAACTGTGGGATCTCATCGCCTCCATCTGCGGAGAAGAGAGAGTCAGGATGGAGATCCCACGTGGGGAGGTCACCTATAATCCTAGGAGTCTCCAGCAGAGAAGGGCCTGTGGCTTGACTTCACATTCGGCTAGATCCTGGCTGCCACCTCTGCTCTGGCCACTCAGCTACTCATGGCCCACCTTAGCCAGGTCCTCTACAGGTCCCTGGGGAGCCCACCATAACCATCTAGCAACAACTGTATCTCTTTACAAATGCATAATGCTTCAGGTCCCATAGTCTGTTGCCCCTCATATCCGTCATCCTCTCAGCAGTCTGGTGAGAGCTGATATTCCTAAGAAACAAGCTAACCCAGAGGGGGAAGGGAGGAAAATGTACAACAATGAATTGGGGGGGGGGGAATCCCAAAACAAAAAAACACAACTAAGAACAAGAAAAAGAAGTATGTTAACCACGTCCTCAAAGATTGCACACTGGAAGGTAGAACCAAGATTTGAACACGGGTCTGAATACTCTGAAGTTCAGGGCTCCAACAAAGCACCATGACCACATTCTGGAAAAAGCCCTGGACTCACTCCTGCCTCGGAACTGGCAGTGCACAGGATAGAGCAGGGTTTGTGGCTCTTGTACACAGGGTCGCTATGAGTCGCCAGCAACTCGATGGCACATAACAACAACAACCCATAATTCCTGTAAACCTCCCACCAGCCCACTGAGGCCCTGGCTCCAAATACCACCTCAAAGCAATCAGGGCACCAGCATCTCCCAGAATTCAACACCCGAACGGAAAGACTGTAAGAGCAAGCAAGTTCAGGGCAGTCACCATCTCCCCCAAACTCACATCCGCAGGCACTTGTCCTTCCCACCACTTGCTACTCTCTGGCCATCAGGACTCCAGTCCACAGCATATACCTAAACCGAGAGGTGGGCAGGGGGAGTGTTAGAAGGGAGGCCGAGAAGCAGGCCACAGCTCAGGAGTGCCAGCTTCCAGTCCCACCCTTCCTCCTGACTCTGGACAGCAGTACCTCATCGGCATGGCCGGGCAGGTCGGTTGCCAGCTTCTGGGCCTTCACGTCCCAAACCTTGAGCGTGCTGTCACTGCTGCCGCTGACCAGGAGCCGGCTGTCAGCTGACCATGCAATCTGGTACACAGCTGCCACGTGGCCCCGCAGGGAGGCCAGGTACCTGAGCCAGAGACGAGGGCAGTTATCAGACCTTCAAACGTGGACTGAGGGTCCCCTAAACCCAGCACAGTGGCTCTCGAACTACCTGGAACCAAATCTTACAGACTAGTTTCCATGCCAGATCAATGGGAGCATTCGTGGTCATTACTATGAACATTTCTGCCAATGAGTTCTTTCTAGGGTTCCTCTTGCCAGACCTCTGGATTTGCACAACTCTGCATGTCTTAGCCAATCTGCTCAGCTAACCAGACAGACAGCAACCCCACCAACATGTCAGACACAGGACAGCAGGTGGCACAGGGGCCAGTGGGCCAAACCCACCTGCGACTTTCAAATCCATAAAGACTAGCTGTGTCTTATCAGCTCCCCTTCAGACCTAGTAAGGTTCCCTTGGCCCTTTTCCTCTTCTTGCCCGGGACTTTGGTGTACCTTCAACCTAACCAGCCCAAGCTCATGCAGCCTTGTGACACCAGAGCTTCTCACATTCTAAAGGGTGGAAGCAGCATCTGGGGACCCTGTTATAAGGCAAGCTGTGATGCAGGTGAGCTGGAGCAGACCTAAGGCTCTGCATCTCCATCAAGCACCCAGGTGAGGCTGACACCGTTGTCCTGTGGGCTACGGACTGAGGAGCGAGGATCAGGTACCAGTGACAACACAAACCTACCACTCCACCCACTCCAGGGCTACTGCTTCCCTCGCCCTTTGACCAGCTTTAATTCCTTTCCTTAGCTGTGAAATGAGTGAATACTTTCAGGGTCCATTTTGCACCCTAAAGAACCATCTCATTTAGTTCCTGTAACAAAACTGACAAGTAAGGGAGCACTGGTAGCCTAGTGGCAAGAAGCTGCGCTGCAATCCTGAAGGTGCATGGTTCAAATCCACCAGATGCTCTGCTAGAGAAGGAGAGGCAATCTCTTCCTGTGCCAGTCGATTCAATTTGATGGTACGCAACAAGGAGGGTGGGGAAGCTGACAAGTAGAGGACCCTTTCTCCATGTCACTGAACTCAGTAAATCCAAACACCTGCCCAAGGCCACTGCTGGCCTGGCAGAGCTGAGCTCCTCCCCCTTTCCCCCCACTTCCACTCACTTGCCAGTCCTGCCATCCCAGAGCTTGATGGACTTGTCGAAGGAGGCACTGGCGATGAGGCGGGAGTCAGGGGAGAAGAGCACCTGGTTGACAAGGGCCTGGTGTCCTGTCATCCGTGCAAGGGGCTTCTTGTCCTCCGCAGGGGTCCACAGGAATAGGGTAAAATCATCTGAGCCGGACACCATTCTTTCTGGACCCTGACCCTGAGGAGGAAGAAGCCACACTGCTGACACAAGGCCAAGAGGAGAGCTTGACCTCAGGAGCACACACACCACTTCTTACAGCATCAGGGACAGAGGCGAAGGCTAACAAAAAGGAGGCTGGGGCCAATCACCAACTCACAGGGGACCCAGGATACGGTGCGACCAACTACTTAATACAGCCTTTCCTGTTACTCCGGTGGTTCAGAGGTGAGGAAATGGGCTGCCAAGGCAAAGGTACATGGTTCAAATCCACTGGCTGCTCTGTAGGATAAAGCTGGGCAATCTTCTCCTGTGCAATTTACTGTTTTTTTGAAAGCCCACTGGAGGGTGAGCTATAGGTCAGTTGTGACTTGATGGTACACAACAACCACCACAGTCACTGTCCAGTCTATGACTTGTATCTGGTTAGGTGAGTCTGTGAAAATACATTTGCTTGTGGTACGCCAAGGGGACTGGGCCATTTGCTGTTAATGCCAATAAGGTGCCCGGAATCTTTATTGGGGTGACACCATGCACAAGAGGGGACTGGTTATTTTTGCCATCCGGCTAGGTTTAAAGGGAGACACGGAGAGCCAGTGAGGAGCTGTAACATGGCACGGTGACTAGGACAACAGTGGCATGAGATGGCAAGGCCAGATCACTGCAAGACACACAGCTGCAGGGGGTCATGTGACTCAGAGATGAGAGCTGTACCTGCCCCATGAGCCTAAGCGGGGACCCGGCAGCGGAGGGTGAGAAGCAGCATCCTGATCACCAACTGTATCCCAAGAGGTTCCTAAGCCCAAACTATGTCCTGTGACTTCCCCAGTAAACCACTAACGCAAAGTATGGGTCATGAATTCTCAGGCACTGTAGTGAAAAACTGAACCGAAAGGCGGGAGGCAGCACGCTTAGGAGATGAGAATAGCCAGTGCTGGCGACAATAATACAGGAGCTTAGAAAAGTTGGACAGCTGGGCCATCTTTAATGTTTGCCTCACAGGAAGTAGCTATTAGTTAATTCTTATATCACTAGGCAAGCCATTTCCCCTAAAGGAAAAAAGAAATTATGTACCAACATGGAATAATTCTTAGGCCACTGAATTATGCAAAAAAGGTAGGTACAGAGTGGTGTGTTTAGAGGAGAAGAACTTTATGTTTGGGTATGAATATGTAAGTGTTTCTGTAAGTTTCTATGTATATACTGCGAATACACACGGGGGTGGGTGTGTATAAAACCTCAAGAAACAGACAGAAGATACTGGCAACAGTGCTGGCTGCTTCTAGAACGAATGGTTTGTCTATGCGACCTCTCATTGTGTACTTTTTTCTATCCACTAAACCTTAGACCATGTAAATAACATACTTAACTGACAAGCTAAATAAAATTGATAGCATAAGAGTAAAATGTGGAACAAAACGCAAAATTAAGAAAAAAGACAAAGAAAAAAAAAGACCAGGCTTAGCGGTGGAGATCTCAGAGCCTATGCCCCTTAATCAGGCTTGAGGGCTGAAACTGAAACTACCCCAGCAACTCAACTTCCAGCCAAATAATGCTACAGTCATTGACTGACTGGATTCCAACTCATGGTAACCCAGCAGGCTTCCATTTTTTTATCCCAAAGAGCAGCTGATGGATTTGAACTGCTGAACTTCTGGTTAGCAGTCCAACTTGTAACCTACTAAGCCACCAAGACTCAGTGGCCAAACAACAGACAGGCCTATTTAAGATGATCAATAACATCAGGAAGGAATGCACTCCTTAAAACAATAGACTACAAAAAACCCCCTCAACCAAACCCAAAACAAACAAACAAACAAACAAAGCCAAAAAACAGTGACTACACAAATTCAAAGGGCAGTGTTTGCCCAGAGAACAAGCTCAGAAGGCAGGAAGGCAAATGGAAATGGGTAACAGAATTTGCTGAATGGAAAATCAATTTGCTCTGCAAACATTCACTCGACTAACAAAAAACAGAGGAAAAAAAAACACCCCAAAGACCAAAAACCTTTCTAGAAAAGGTACACTCTGAGCTGCGCCTAGAAGAGAGATGTGGTGAAGGTCCTCGGAGAGAGCTTAAGGAGACCAGTCGTAGGCAGCCAGCACATACTCACCCGTACGAGGTCGTACCGACTCAGAGCCCTCTCCTTCAGCTCCTGCACTGTGTCAGGCACCGGAGGGGCAGGAGATGAGGGATGAGAAATAAGGCTCGTTAGAAAATTCAACACAAACGATCCCACCCACACCCTTAAGCCAGAGAACCAGCTTATCCCAAGCAGCACACCCAAGCAGCCCCCACTCCTCCTCCTCTGCTCACTCACAGGACCCTTGGAGGTCTTGGGCGTTAACAGAGGCCTCGGCGGGCTCAAAGGCCCCAGTGCGTAGAGCATAGTCAGTGCTGAGCGCCATGGTGTTCACCCAGTGGCCATGGCCTTGCAGCGTCCGGCACAGCACACCCTGAGGCAGAGGGAGCAACAGGTCACACAGAATGACACACACGCACCCCCGTTTTGACCCTTAGGAGACCCGCACCCTCAGATCGGTTTCAGATGTGGCATGCGATAGCATGAGGACTGAGAATTAGGACACTGGTCCACTGTCACCCTGCATTTACTGTGACCTTCGTCAGGTCACCCCCCACTAGATTTTAGTTCCCTCCTCTGTCAAATAAAGGTATGGGTCTAAATTAAGGTTTCTGAAAATGGGCTTCACAGAGGCGAGGTAAAAACATGCCAGAAGAAAAAGGCTCCAGTCAAACCAATGTAAAAGATGGTGGGTCTGAAAGAGCAAAACAGGCTTTTCTACACGACAGGAATTTTCAGTCTTGGTTCTATACATTAACCACTGGACACTGGGTCCGTCAGAAAAGTTAGGCTCACTGCCATCAGGGCTCCCCCAGAGCCCACACCCCATGACCTGACATTTCCCAGACCCTTGGGCACGTACATCGTGAGCTCTCCACACTTTGATGGTGCGGTCCTGGGAGGCGGAGTAAAGCAGCCCGTCCCCTCCCCACCGGAGGCAGGTGACCGACTGTGTGTGCCCAGTGAGGATGCGCTCACAGCGGCCTGCCATCGTGTCCCACACCCGCACACTGCCGTCCTTGGAGCTGCTGGCCAAGTAGCGGCATTCGGGGTTCCTAACAGGGAGAAGAAGGGAGAGGTGACTTCATTTCTAATCCAGCAGCACCTGCCTTCCCATGGCCCCTCCCACCCTCAGCACCAAGGCCAGCGATGAGCTGTCAGCTTCCTAAGCCCAAGATCTCCCTTCAGTTCTCAGAGCAGCCTTTTACGGATAGTAACGTGAGTGGAAGACTGTCCCAGCCTGCTAAGCTGTTAACCGTTAATCACACTGCCCACTTCTCTATCATATCAAACTTCTCTGGTGAGGAACATATTTCCAGACCAATTAACCATATGGGGCTAAAAGGGCAGCATCTGTCCTAAAACAAAGCTCAGAAGGCTGGAAATGGAAAGATAAATGGATACAGGGGCCCCACAGAGGAATTAAGAGTTTGTTATACTGAGGGAATTGCAACTAAAGCTAGGAAAAATGTGTATGAACGGTTGATCGAAAAACAAATTTGTTCAGTAAACTTTCACTTAAAACACAATAAAAGAAATTACAAAACCCCTCCTGTGAGTAGGAAAGGGAGGCAGTTTCAGAGCCCTGGCTCCTTGTCTCCATAGCCTGCACGCTGCTCCCCAGAGCTCTAACCGCTCACTTACTTATGGAGGGGCTCCCAGCACAGGCCCGTGATCCACTTGCTGTGGCCGGCGAGGGGCCTGCCCTCCTGCTTCCCAGTGCTTGGGTCCCACAGGAGAATCTGAAGAACAGAAACTTATTAAATCCCACAACCAGTCCCTGGCCTCACCACGGGTCCTCCACTCACCTCCTAGCCCCTCCACTCCTCCCTGAATCCCCTTCTGACCAGTTACCTGGCCATTCTTGCAGCCAGAAGCCAGCTTCTTGCCGTCTGGGGACCAGGATATGCTAAGCACCCAATGTCTGTGACCTAAGAGACAGAAGAAGGGGAAAAGGGGGACCAATGTCTCTTTCTTCCTTTACCCTAAGTGTTAGTAAGCCTGGTACACTGCAGGGCTCCATAACTGTTTGTTGAATAAAGGAACATCGAAAAAAAAGAATGAGCAATTATGGACTCAAACAGCAAGGCGCATGAAGAAGGCGCAGAGCAGACTGGGTAACACTTTCTTTTATTACATATGACACAGCCCTGACTTACCAGATTCAGTAACAAGTAACAATAAACACAGAAGGACCCAGACAAGTAAAGCACTGGGAGCTTGCTAGAAACACAAATTCTCAGTCCTCGAGGTCAACTCAAGCAGACTTGAAGGTGGACTCAGCTCTGTGTATTTAATAAGACCTCCAGGTGATTCTGAAGCCCAGTGAGTGTGAGAGCTTTCAGCGCTTAGGTGTAACCTGGGACTCCCAGTCTGCCCTTCCCACCACTTCACACTGACTCTTGACTATTCTCTGAGGTTTGTAGACTCAAAGACACAGGACACACTGAGGAACATGTGCCACTAAACAGGTGCCAGAGGCGGACCTCATATGGATTACTTTTCAAGGGGCTGGACTCTCTTCCACACAACTCAAGAGCTAAAAAGCTGACTGAATCAGCTGCCCACCACAGTGTTAAGACCCCCTAACTAGCCGCATGCTGACCTCTGCATGTGAAATGTGGCGTCTCAGTGCTGAGATCCCAGAAGCGCACAGTGGTGTCCCCGGAGCCACTGGCCAGGTACCTGGGGGAAAGAAAGGTGGCTCGACTTCAGCAGTGGTGAACAAGGGGTTCCATTCTGGAGGCGCTGCACCCACCTACCCACTTATCTCTGTGAGCAGAATCCAGGACCTGTATTTTCCCTCTCCCCTGAGGAGGAGGACTAGAAAACTGGTGCCATCTGGGAAAAGATCCCAGACTAATTGCCCCCTTTCCTTCCTAAAAGGAATGGGCTCTGCGACAGTCAACTTTTGAAGAACCTCATTATCTTCAGGAGGAGTAAATATTCCTGATTTCACATAAGAAGAATAAATTTGGAAAAATTAAATGATCTGGCCAAGTCACGCAACCAGGCTTATAGGCCCAATCCCCTGACATCAAGTCCAGGAGGGCTTTGCCCAAGGAAGGTGACTTTGGCCTTTGGGAATCAACCATCACTGGCCATGGCGAAGTCACTCTGAGCCCATGACTCTGGCCTTACGGTGCTGATCCTAACGAGAGAGGACCATGTTAACCTCAGTCAGTGCTTGAACCCCTCCCTTCCCTTCCCCAATTCTGCTGATGTCCTTACTTTCCTGTGGGGCTGAAAGCTATGGAAATGACAGCCTCACTGTGACCCTCCAAGGAGCTGGTGCAGCGGGTCACGGCTCGGACCCTGAAGATAGCCTGAGGCTGATAGATGATGTCGAGGACCTTCTCTGTCTCCACTGCCTGAGACTCCAGCGTCTTCCCCAGAGAGGACACAATCTCAGCATCATGGACATAGAAGGCCAGCGGCAGGGGATCCTCCTGGAGGACAAGGACAAACAGCAACCCCCATTAAGGCCCATGCAGGGGCAGCCTTCCACCCAAGAGGGTGCTCACTGACTTGTGGGAAGGTGAAACCTCCTTGTCTTCAGAAAACCTGCATGGTACCTTTGTCACTTCTCATTCAGCAAGATCCCTGCATGCCCAGAAGAGTCTGAAAGGAGATTTACAAAGTACTCTGGGAGGGAGACATTGCTGATAACCAAGGGATTCAGTACTCTTCAAAATGAAAACAAATGTCAGGGATTAGGGCTAGCTTAGAACGATGCAGTACTTCTCAAACCACCACACCCCACACACCCCCACATACAAACAATGCCACATAATGCCTAAGAAGCATCCAAAAGTCTTGTTTAAAACACAGATTGTTTTACCCGTAGAATCTGGTTCTGTAAATCTGAAGGAGGGTTCAGAAACTACATTTGTAACAAGCTTGCCCCCACCCCCAGGTAGCACTTTGAAAAACGAACCAAGTCACAGCTGACCATCCAGTGGATTTTCAGAGGCAAAAGAAATCACATGACAGGAAACTGTCCACCTTTCTCCTGAACTAATAATATAGAGGTTAAAAGCTTGAATTTTTATTGTAACAAGATTTTATGTTCTACTGCCAGCAAGTGCATGTGACTCACTGCAATCCTGGGTGCGCTATAGCTTTTCTCCAGGAGGGGTGGGGTGGGGTGCTGTAATCTTTAAGGGAGGCATGTAGTTCGAATCCACCTGCCGCTCTGCAGGAGAATGATGGGTAATGTCCCCCACAATATTTACAGCTTCTGAAAATCCACAGAGTCGGTTCCGACTACAGGGCACATAAACTAGGCTTTTCTTCAGAAGCGGGGCTGCTGCTGTTTGTTGTTGTGTACCACAGAGATGGAACCAACCCACAGCTGACCCTTCAGCGGGTTTTCAGAGGCAGTAAATTGTACAGGAAGCTGTTGATCCTCCCGCAGGGCAGCTGGTGGATTCAAACAAAGTGCCTTTGGAATGGCAGAACAGCTTCTTACCACATGCTTCTAGGTGAATTCAAACTGCCAACCTTTCAGGTGGTTTAGGTGGGTTGGATCGGCTCCGACCCATAACCACACTGTACAATAGAACAAAATCTTGTCTGATGCTGTGACACCCCCCCAAATATCGCTGTGTTTAATTAAGGCTATTGTTAAGTCACTGTGTTAATCCATCTCATTGAGGGGCTTCCTCTCCTTTACTGACTTTCCTAAGCATGACAGGACCAGCTCCTCCTGATGACAGGTAGCAAGCATTATGTAAATAATCCAATCCGGCTGGGCCACACTGTAAAATGAGGTTATTATATGTCTGTCTCAGGGGCTGTGAAGAGGAAACAATGCGATTACACTCAATGTGTTTAAAATTAAGTCTCTCTGCAGGTAAAATGCTTTCACAGAGGACATCTTCTGACCTTCCCCAGAAGTGGGCGACTCAGCCGCGAACTCATGATGGGATGCAACAGTTACAATCAGTATTAGTGGGGGGACCTGGGACATCAGACCTTCGTTTACTTTCCGGAAAGATGCACCCTAGTGGACCCCTACCCCCCCCATCCCCACCCCCAGGGAGGGATGCGCAGCTGCTCCCGCCCGCCGCTCACCTGGGCCAGTAGCGCGTTGCACACGAGCTGCAGCTTGTCCGGGGTGATGTCCACCGGTACGTCGAACGGGGCACCCAGCAACTGCCCGCCCTCATCCTGGAACTGCACTAGTAGCCTCTGCATGTCAGGCGCAGCCGCTGCTTCACCCTGTACGGAGAAAGAGGGGTGCGAGTCAGCCGCGCAGCCAGAGAGAGAGGCCCCCGCTTCCCCCTCCCTCCGGCCTCCAGAACCCTGAAGCCCGAGCTCACGGATGTGGAGGCCCCCGCTCTCATCACGCGCACCTACCGCCACTGACACCGCCGCCGCCGCCATCCTGCGTCCCCACGTGGAGGAGACAGACTCCGGCGGAACAGAGCGCCATCCCCATGGAAGGGAAGTGCTGCAACCTGCAACATTGCCCCCTGGTGGTCCGGAGGGGAAATGTTGCGCCTCCCTTGGCCTCAGGGGTTAGCAGGGGGCTCAATGGGGGGCGGGAATCATCTTAATAACCTCCCTTTAGAAGGGACCGCTGCCTCCACACTCAGTTCTTCCCAGTGCCTTCCAGGATACAGACATCTTATGATTCTTCAGAACAGGAATTCTTGCCCCATTGTATTGTATAGATGCAGAATCCTTCAGAGAAGTTCAATGTTCCCTCAAGTCAGAGTTAGACAATGCTTGGGACACTTAACATCAGCACTGTTACTACTTTGCGATAATTATAGAAATATTTTCCTTTTGTACTCATCAAGTATTAACTGACTTGATACATTTTTTAAAGAAATAATTTCTGCCTTACGCAAGATAATCTCTGGTTTTGTAAATCTCTCTGCTGATATACAGTTTCCTGGAACTCAGTCTATTTAGGAAACAGGTTGAAATTCAGGAAACTATATATATTGGGGAGGTCTGCTGTCAGAGACCTCTCCAAAGTACTGAAGAGCAACGATGTCAGTCTGGAGACTAACGTGCGCCTGATACAGCCCAGGGTCTTTGCAATCATTTGGGTAGGTGTGTTGAAGACAGGTTGGGACAGGACAGAGCAGGGTTTAGGGCTGTTGTACATAGGGTCACTAAGAGTCACAGGCAATTTGATGGCATATAACAACAACAACATATATATATAGGCTCATGGTTCAAATCCACCAGCAGCTCTGGAGAAGGATGGGCAATCTCCTTCCTTGTGATTAACTGCCTCTGAAAACCTGCTGGAGGGTCAGCTATGGGTCTGTTCTGACAGCCATTTATCTCAGGGAATTCCCAGTCTGATCAGTTCTTAACCCTGGGAGAAGATCTCTGTGTGATAAAGGATTTATGAAGTCCATCCACAGAAGGCTGCCAGTCTAATGGGAGAGGCAGGCTGACCACTCTAGAAACAGACTTGCTAGACGCAGATGGAGCTGAACAAGAGACAAGTGTACAGTCCACTGAGAAGTAAGTCCTGCTGGTCGTTCTGAAAAACAAGGGCATTTTCAGCAAGTGAAGGACTTTGGGAATTGTAGACAAGTAGGAAGGAGTCCTGGTAGGGCAGTGGTTAAAGCACTTAGCTGCAAACTGATAGGTCAGTGGCTCAAACCTCCCAGCCAGTCCATAGAAGGACGTGGCAGTCCACTTCCTCGAAGCCTTGGGAACTCTATGAGCAAGCAGTTCAGCTCTATTTTGCAGGGTTGCTGTGAGGTGGTGTTGATGCTACACAAGATGGGGAGCTATTAGATAAATGAAAGATGGACAGAACATTTATCTCCTCTCCTCTCCCTCCCCTCTCCTTCCAGAGAGGCATTTCTGGAAGTCTCCAGTCGGTCCGGGCACTGGGCAGCTGCTCTGTATGTCCCAGTCTGCCAGCCCCTCAGCTGTCACTCTACTCCCAAAATAGCAGTGGTTGGGGGTGGGGGAAGGCTATTTATCTGGGATGGAGGAAGAGAAGGGGTATTATAATTGTGTCTAGGGAGAGGGCTCAGTGGGGGGAGGCAATGTTCCCATTCCTTCTGGATCTTTCTTTCTCTTTTTTAGGGTTTCAATTCCTGAAACCCTGGAACTGTCCCTATCAGGCAAGGGGTGGTCAGTCCTGTCGGGGGGAGTGGGAGGGCCTCAAGTGTCAATGACATACTCCAGGGGCACCTGCCCCCATGGCCAAATATGGTCTGTAATCACTGGCAACGGAGATAAAGTCTCCTGAGTGGGGGCTGGGAGGGGCAGAGCCAGGCTGGCTGGCTGGAGGGTCACATCACTGAAGCACAGATCCTCACTGAGAAGGTGAGCTGAGTGTTCCCTGGGCCAGGCAGCGAGGTGAGGGACTGGGAGGGAAGGACTACAACAAAAGTCTAGGCCTTGGAGTGGGGACTTCACTCGTCCAAGCTCGGGGGACAGAGTGAGGCACAAGGACACGGAGACCCTTCTCAATATGGGCCGTGCTCTGCTCAGCTGCTGTGTCCTCCTGGGGCAGTGAAATTGGGAGTCTGGGGCATGGGATCCTTTGGGGTGAAGCTTAACCATGGAGCTATCCTAGAGGAGAGGAACCAGCCCTGGTCCAGAGTGAGGGTCAGGAGAGACTGACCAGCCCTGATACAGAGTGAGGGTGGGGTGAGATTGACGGCTTCTCTTCGACAGATGGCAGAGGCTGAGGCAGTGCAGCTTAAGGAGGAAGGGAACCGGCACTTCCAGGTCCAGGACTACAAGGCCGCAGTGAAGAGCTACAGCCAGGCCCTGAAGCTGACCAAGGACAAGGCCCTGCTGGCCACGCTCTATCGGAACCGGGCAGCCTGTGGCCTGAAAACGGTTTGGCTGAGGGCTGGGTGGCAAGCTTCTATTGTCCCAGCCCCTCTTATCCACACCCCTCAGGCGAGAGGAGAACCCCTCTCATTTCATTCCCTCAAGAGACAGCTCTGCCCCACCCCTTTGTAGAGTGTCAAGAAGACAGAAATTCTCCACATCAGAACAGCCGGTTGGGATGAAAACCTCTGGGCTAGGCCCCATGATGGTACTTCCAGGTTCTCATGGCACCTTGCTAATAACCCTGTGAGATAGTTGCTCTCATCCCCATACTGCCGATGAGAACGTTGAGGCTCACAGAGCTAACTTGCTCCCGACCTCCCAGGTAGTGAGTGGCGGAGCTAAGATTCAAACCCAGCTCTGCTTGATCCCAAATCTCATCCACTTTTCTGTACTCAGCTGCGAACAACATCCCTTGACCTTTTTTTCCTCCCCTCAACGTTTTTTGTTGCTCCCCTCATAACAAAGCCTCTGGCTCTTTCCACATAGGGCTCATATTAACTGAGTCTCCTTCCTCATTTCCCAGGAGAGCTACGCTCAGGCAGCTTCAGATGCATCACGAGGTAAGCTGCCCCAGCCCTGCTCCCCATCCGAGTTTCCACCTTGGGTCTCTGACTCCATGGCCCTGACACGTACAGGAATGACTGACAAATGCCAGCCCAGCAACATGGGGCAAATGTCAGGTCGCCCATCCCTCGATGTAAAAGATTTACCCAAGCCAGAGTTTTGCAAATTTAATTACATATTGCATAATGTCCTCCAGGGTCACCCATTTTGAATAATATTGTACGAGTTCCTTGCTTTTCAATGCAGCTATGAGTCGCAGGTGACTCGACGGCACATAACAACAACAACAATATTGACTACACGGGGGCCGCTCTCTTGAAGGCATATTTCTGAAATCCTTTGGCCACAGTCATGGACATACCCTACTTTGTTGGGTCAGGAAGACAATGTTTATCTTGGAGTTCCCCAAAACAGCCAGATCAGTTTAGTCCACTCCTGGGGGGCTGAGGGAGTCCAAGGGAGTTCTAGTGACCTCATCCATAGGTAGTTGCACTGCTGTCCCGAAGGCCACACCTCTCTGGTGAAAACTCTTCAGGAGAATGATGAGTAATCTCCTCCTCTGTGGTTTTTACAAAGCTTAGGAAACCCAGGGGAGGGTCAGCTGTGAGTTGATTCTGACTCAGTGGCAATGAGAGTTCTTCGGAAGGCTGAGTGAGATGCTCCGGCCAGCAGGAGCTGCAGGGCCTCAGGTTCTGAGAGATTATAGACTCAAGCCTTGATTGAAAGAGAAAGGCTGCCCAGAGTTGCAGTCCTATTTTTAGGACATAATGTACAGAATGAAGGAGGCTCTCCTTGCCACAGGTCTGTTTGGGGTTTGATCTTAATCTTTGATGACATACAAGGTGAATTTAGGAGGTAGGACCCAGCCTGAGAAAGGACTAGAAATCTGTCATGTGAACAGCTGAGGAAAATGGCAATATTTAGCTCAGAAAAGGCACTCCCAGGTGGGATGGGGAGCTGCCTTCAAATACCTAGAAGGCTTTCATAGGAGGAGGAATTGGATTTCACCTTCCAGGGCTGGATTTGGACAAGGGGACAAAGTTACAGGGAAACATATTTCAAAATACTTGTAATTGTCATTGTTGTTACATGCCGTCAAGTCACTTGCGACTCACAGCGACCTTAAGTACAAAAGCTCTGAACCCTGCTCTATCCTGAGCCAACTTTATCATCTCTGACACACCTAAGCCAATTAACCTAGTCACTGAGTCAATCCATCTCATTGAGGATCTTCCTCTCTTGTGCTGTCTCTCCACCTTCCCAAGCATGATGTCTCTCTCCAAGAATGGGTCCCTCTTTGCAACATGTCCAAAGTATGTCAGACAGAGCTTCAGAATCCTTGCCTCCAAGGAGCACCTGATTTCACTCTCTAGGATAAACCTGTTTGTTCTCTTAGCAGTCCATGGTACATTCAATACTTTTCTCCAGCACCACAGCTCACGGACATCAATTCTTCTTCTGTTATTCCTAGTCATTGTCCAGCTGCCTATCTCCCTTGAGAAGTAGGGAGCTCCCCATTGCTGGAAGTATGCAAACATCAACTGGATGTGCTGGCACGAATCCTGTAGCAGGAATTAGATGAGATGATCTATAAGGTCTCTTCCACCCTTGAGAAGCTATAGTTCTTACTCTTGCCCTAATCATGAGAAACTGAGGCATATAGGCCACAAGGGAGGGTGGATAATCTCCAAGAAGACACAGAGATCAGGCAAGAGCACAGTTCCTGGAGTTGGGGCAGTGGGGGTGGAAGTGGGTGGTCTGGAGCCTGTCTGCCTGAGGCTGCAATTCTCGCCTTGTTAGCTATCGACATCAACTCCTCGGACATCAAGGCTCTGTATCGGCGATGCCAGGCCATGGAGCATCTGGGGAAGCTGGACCAGGCCTTCAAGGACGTGCAGCGCTGTGCCACCCTCGAGCCGAAGAACCAGAACTTCCAGGAGACTCTGCGGAGGCTCAACATCAGCATCCAGGAGAAGGTGAGCCCATGGCCTTCCCACAAATTTTGCTTCTCTCACCTA